AGGTTTCCCCCTTTTACGGGGAACGAGGGAATTTTTTTCAATTTTTAAGGGTAATGTCTTCGACTAGATACGATTTGTGATCTTTTGACGTATCGTTGAAAGAAATCGGTTCGGTGAGAGCTGAGAAAAAGTGGTAACAGACATGAAAAAAAAACACATCTTAGTAAAATTAATACCTTCTCAGCTTCGCATCGAAACTAAAAACGAAAAATAAATATTCTCATATACTAGTCTTCAATGAAGATTATAGCGGACAGTTAAAATCCATTCTAACTTCTAAAATCAATTTTGTTAGCAGTTTTTATTTTTATAAATAATAATATAATTTTTTGAAAAAACCATAAAATGGTTCATGCAGATTTTTTAAAAGAATTTGATAATTTATAAAATATTATTGAATCCGTTCAAGAATAAAAATTATCACTTTCGTTAAAATTTTATCAAACTCGACAAATATATCGTATTTTAATATTTATAGTTAAATAAAGACATGTATATTAAAAAATGTATTTAAATAATGAAGTTATTTCAACATTTACTTTATTTCAATTTTTTATATTATTATTAAAATTTAAAAATTATTTTGATTTATAATAATGATATATTTGATATTTTTCTTTAACGCAAAATGAATGACATCGCCAGATTGGGACAAAAAGGTTTACTGCTTTTATATCACACTACTTTCTAAGTTATTACTTACTGATTACAAGTGCAATAAAACAGAAATATTTGGACAAAAAATTATTTTTAAGGTGTAAAAGCAGATACACATTCGATTAAGGCTAATCATAGTTTTATAATAGTACTAATTCAAGCGTGGAAAATCTCCTCGAGCTCCTTATATTACAGTGGCATATTTAGGACTTTTTTTTTAAGAAGATATACCTAAAAAATGTTTTTATTACCCGCTCAAGAAAATAAAATTGCATCTCCATCTTGTAATAATTTTTATTGAGGAAACTTATATCGTTTGAACCCCTCCCCTGGCGCATAGAGGTTCCGCAAATCCCAGTGCAGAAACTGAATTATAATTACCTTGAAGTTATTATATCATTAAATGTAGGTTAAAATATTTACGCCGGATTTCTCGTAAAAGGGATCTCTGAGATTTTCTCGTTAGCTCTAACTAACTATCCTATACGGGCCTGGTGAATTAGAGGGAGAGTAATTCGTGATAATTATTTGTATGTAGCACGAAACAAATAAGGACTAATTTTAATTGATACACATTTTTAAAACATTAAATAATATACGTACAATTTTGTGTTTTGTTTTTACTAGTTTTTGACGTATCAATTGTCGATAACATGTTATCGTCGTGAAATATTTACAAAGACGATAAGATTTTTCTAGAAACGCATGTTGTTTTTCTATATCTATTTTACTTAAATGCTTCTATGTTACTTCGATTCCTAATAGCCAATGCAACAGTGCAATATTCTTATCAAGGTCGCGTATATTTTGTATCGATGACACAACTAATATTTTTTTAGGAAATTAATTATTGTTTCACTGATATTGCATTTGAATAGAAAATTGAAGTTGACTATGTATTATTTACCCGCCAATAAATGTTAACTAATATTTTCGGATGAATGCATACATTTTTTTGATAAGTTAACTTTAACTTTTTACATCTATTTAAATTTATATTATTACCGTTGATTAGCAACTAATAGATTGTTGATAACTTAATTATAGCTAGTAGCTTTTTGTTAAAAATAACTTTAGTGTATGCATATAATAGTCGTTTTACACAAGTGCATATTGAGAGCCTAGAATTAAAGGAACGTATAATCAATATGTAAAATATTTTTTAAAGAAACAATGGAGTGATGAATTTTTTTCATTTCTTTAAATGGAAAATTAAAATTTAGTTTTACTGTCTTAAAATTAGTTGATACATTTCTTTAATGATTTAAATATTTTAGAGTAAACAATAGGCGTAAATAATAAAAAAAATTGGGGTGCTAAATACAGAGGGAACCGTAAATCAAGAACCACTCCATTATTCGTGAAATAATGAGTAAATTTTTTTTTGTACAATTACTGTTTTTTATTTTTTTGTTCGTCCTTTTTTATTATAGGGTTAACGACTTTTTTTTAATGGAAATATATTTAACTAGCTTATAAGATAGAAAATAATGTAATAAATAAATGACTGGTTAATAACAAATTTTTGACTAGTATTTCAGAAGTAATATTTTTATACCTAGGTGGGAGGAGGATAGAGCCGACAAATATCTAGTAATGAAAATAACAGAACCCAACCTCTCAATCATTACTTTAATTAATTAATAACTTATAAAATACTAAATTTAATAGATTTTTTTAAGTTTCATATTCATATAATTTGTCCTTTGTTTGAACCGCATTTAATACAGAACTATTTGAATATGTTTTAATATTTTGAAGTAGAATTTTATAAGAGCATACAGGTCAGGAAAGCATACTCTAGATTCAATCATTAGAAACCTTATGTTTCAACAGATACACAATAAAAAAAAAAAGTCATAATATTTTGACATAAATAATTTGTATACGGAGACCTCAACTGTTAATTCGAGTATAAGAATAAAAAATTGATTTTATTATATAAAAATAACGTGGTACTTTTCTTTAAAAAAATGAGTTTATTTTCAGAGAAAAATTTATCTTACATTTTGTTATTTTATCACAAAAATCATTTAAGCACTATGTATATGTAATTAATTTACAGTGTTCAAAAAGTAGGGAAACAAGTTAATTGTTATAAATAATGAGAACAATAGAAATCTGTTTCCTTACTTACTGAAACTATATATTTGGGTGTTACAACCAGGCATGGATCAAGAAGAAATTTTTGGAGTAGCCATTTCACTATTTCTGTTCAAGTGAGACATATTTTTCATAATGAAGACCATTTTTTAGAAAATAATTCTAGTTTTGGGAGACATTGCTTTTATGGCCCCTTGTATCCGCGCTTAGCTCTAACCTCTACAAAACTTAAAATAATATTTAAATATCTCGTAGAAATAAAAAAAAAGGTCAGTTTACAAATTATTATAAATAGTCTAACCAAGATTATATAAAAACACGCTATTGAGGGAAGAGAGGTACATTTTATTATTGTCGGCTCATGTGTTACATATCTTGATTTGTATATAATTAATTTTTCTTAAAAGAAATCATCTGATAGGGGTTTTTACTTTTTTGGGATAGATGTGCACAAATATAATAAATTATTACTTATCACAAAATATGATGAGAAAAAAATATTTTCCTGAAATATAAATTGGCCAACAGTCACTGTAAATAATATATTGTCAATTATTAATTTAAACAGTACTTCACTCTATACTCAAATGGAAATATAGGTTTTAATTTAGGTTATAAGGGTGGAGTAAGTGGGTACTATCGCCAAGGGCAGCAATAAAACTTTACCGGCAACATTTAAATTTTAAATACATCTCTGGGTATAGGCAAATATCACGTGCACCTCGATATAAGGGGTACATCGACATAAAATTTTAAACTAGCTATATTGTGTAATTATTATTTAAATTATTCAAAATTTAAAAATATTTTACATTTTGAAAAATTCATTAATTTTTTAGGATGTAATTTTTAATTATGGTTAAAAAAAAATGCCATAAAAAAATGTCATATTATGTAAATTTACCAAATTGAAATATATTTGCCAAATATTTCACCTCATGGGCCTCCGAATAAATTTTACCTACGGGCCTCTAGAAATTTAGTTATCATTTCCATTACACTCTCAAATCAAGCTTTTATTTTCTTAAGTTTGATTAATTTTAAAATTGAACTGTTCGTGTAGAACATATACAGTAAATTATGGTTCATGGTAATTAATCTGTAAATAATTTCTATAGATTAATTTTTGTTATGCTAGAAATTATTCGAGTTGTTATTTATATAAGAGTTAATTTTTGATGAAATGGAGATTTGAGTTATTAGAAGAGAATGACGTTAAAATAAGTATAATTCTCTGAACGATGTATATTTTAAATGATGTGTTTTACTAATCAAATTAAAGTATGAAGTTGATATTACGTCATATTTTGTAGTCATACTGTTATCGGTAGGAATACTGTGTAAGGTCTGATAATCCCAAAATTATAAAAATAAAAATACGCTTGAAAACCGCATGATGTTCATTCAATTTTGCCGAATCATTAATTTTTATTTTACAATAAGTATTAAATCATATCTGATAAAAAGGTTTGCCAATCATTGACCTTTAGTGAAATTGATTAACGAAGATGTCAGTAATTGTCCAGACTACAAAGTGAAATTGTATTACTTATGTTATCATAGATTGAATAATACTATTCTAGAACGTTAATATTTTTTAATTGCGTATTATCGAATACTGATATAATAAATAACGTTATCGATTAAGTAAATTGATCGTTAATTAGACTACACCCCTTGTGTTTTATTTAATGACGAAGAATATGATGCAATGTTTGCGTAGTGGTTTTCCCTCGTTTACAAAAATTTTGACGTCTGAATAATATATTTTCGACGTAACTTGATTAATTTTGTCAAAAATATTTTGTTAGATGTTATCTGTATAATTATTGTATGTTGTTGTTTTTCTATTAAGAAAAGTAGAATTTAAAAAATATACAACGTTATCTATAAAAACCAATTTGATGAGAGTAACATAATATTGTTGTCCCTAAAAAGTATTGCGTAACTAGGAAGACAAAAAATAACAACGCGACACTGCACAACAAGGCCTAGCAAAAATTGTTTGACACTGTTTTTAAACGTAGACAAATAAATTGTTATGTGAAGAGTGGGAGAGGCACGTGGTATGGATGAATCAAAAGGAACGATAGGCATCTATTGTACGACAGTAATTCTGTGGACGAGGTGTTCGTAATAACGGCCGAAGCATTTTTCTTATTTAAACTATAAATAATAAATTAATATCAAGTTTATTTTCAGTATTTAATTTTATTGCGTATATTTTTATAGGAAAATCGTATCTATATAGTTTGATATAGTAGTCTTTTTATTTTGTCTCGGAATTATCGCTAAACTAAAAGTTATATATATTATATAAAGTAATCAAAATGGTTCAGCCGATTATTCAACATAATTTGAACGTATCATTTTCGGGTTGTGGATTTTTAGGGATTTACCACATTGGCGTGGCATCATGCTTGAAATCATATGCACCTCATTTGTTGGACAATAAACTTTGTGGATCTTCAGCTGGAGCTATCGCTGCCTGTTGTTTATTATGTGACCTTCCTCTTGGTAAGTTTATAGAACATAAATCTAAAATAACATAGTGTTAAAAGTATTCATTTTAAGGGGCCAATTAAATTCATTTAGACAACCAGGATTTTTTAAAATAGGGCCAAAGTCAAATCAAAATAGAAAAATTTTCTGCTGTTCCATATTGGGACAGTTTTTTTTTTTTTTAATTTGTCTTTATTTAACTATAAATATTAAAATACGATATATTTGTCGAGTTTGATAAAATTTTAACGAAAGTGATAATTTTTATTCTTGAACGGATTCAATAATATTTTATAAATTATCAAATTCTTTTAAAAAATCTGCATGAACCATTTTATGGTTTTTTCAAAAAATTATATTATTATTTATAAAAATAAAAACTGCTAACAAAATTGATTTTAGAAGTTAGAATGGATTTTAACTGTCCGCTATAATCTTCATTGAAGACTAGTATATGAGAATATTTATTTTTCGTTTTTAGTTTCGATGCGAAGCTGAGAAGGTATTAATTTTACTAAGATGTGTTTTTTTTTCATGTCTGTTACCACTTTTTCTCAGCTCTCACCGTACCGATTTCTTTCAGCAATACGTTAAAAAATCAAAGTTTATACGTTCACAAAGATGAACGTATAAATATAATTTTTTTATACAGAAATCTTATGTATGTCCCTTTTATTTGATATATTTTTTTTAAAAATCCTACCCTTAACCTGCTCATAGGAGGAATTCAAAATAGAATCTTCTGCACAAAAATTTAACTTTTTCAACTTAAGTTTTGAAAATGTTCTAGTAATACTGCGTCCTTTAAACATATGTTAAAATAAAGCTAATATTAAGTACTATAAGTTAAAAAAAAAATTGTCGAAGTTATAAAAATTTATCCAACATTTATTCATATATTACACTTATATATCATAAAACTTGTAATCAGGATATAAACAAGGAAATAGGACTTAATTTTGCTTTTGGAATAATCCAAGAACGATCTTTAAAAATCTTTGAGACAACTAAGGGAGCTTAGTCACCCTTTATCACCTAATAGTGTAATGTAGTAGACAATGATAAATCAATTTATTTATTTATTTTTTAAGTGACATACATTTTTAACTAGCTTATAATTAGCAAATTATATAACTGATTAAATGACTGGTTGATTATAACCTTTGCTTTGGAAGTTATTAGTATTTTTATACGTAGACGTGTGGAAGAGAGCGGCTAAAAAAATGTATGAAGATGAAAATAGGCATACTCGATCACTAATATACTAGCAGTAATAACTTGAGAAAACTTCTTAATAAATTGGCAACAAGTTCAATGATTATTTTTAATTCGATGGACCGAAATTTAAGATAGTGTTAATCAATTGTAAAAGTTACTAAGTAAGAGAGATAAATTCAAATAATCAGGTGAACAAACTGAAAATGTCATAGATGTTTAGATAGTGAATATACTGCATGAGAGAACGCATCTCGGCGACCAGGTTGGTCTCGAACTCTAACTGAGGACTTTTATCATACCCAATAGTCACTCGACTGTGTTGTATAGTAGCCATTGGTATAGAAATTGCATTAATATTATATTATATTAATATTATTAATATTATTTAAAGGGAAAACGTCAAAAAAGTTTTTAACGCTTATCAATGACACATTGCCAGTTTGCTTATACATTTATCTTTTTATTGTATTTTTCTATCTTATTACCTGGCTCAATTGTTTTTATAATTCTTTTTCTTTAATATCCACCGAATTAAAAATAATGAATGAATTTGTCGCCGTTTATAAAATATTCTTTCATCTATTGATAATAGTTGATTAAATTTGACACACAAATGGGTTTAGTAAAATAAAATTATTGGTATTATATGCTATTAATATAATAGCTTCATGGCTATCTCATTTTTCTATTTGTTATTTATCACCCAATAGTATTGTAAATAGATTCAAATTCTCAAATATATGCTGTTCATTATGTTGGTTTATTTATTTTTTGATACACATTAGTACCACTTTTACTATATTGTTGATTTCTTTGTTCTATTTTTAACAGAAACATGTATTTATATATGTATAGAAATTAAAAATTTTTATTTTACATTTTATTAGATTGAATATGTTGTAATTTACATTGATCTAATTATAGTTGAATAACAATTTACTTCATGCTGTGGCGTATTAAGAGTTTAAGCGTCCTGAGGTAGCTTGAAATTCAAGCCTTGAATTTTTGATTCTAGTACCAAAAACCAAAAATAATGGTATAACAGATTTACCCATATTTATCCAAGCTATTATTTAAGATTTATCTTTATTTACATTTATCCCACTTTTAATATACTATTTGTTTTAGTCTTCGCTAGATATACGAATTCAGCATTTATAAATAATATACATTTTTATAATAGGTTAATAAAAATCATACTTGTACTAAAACATTAAAAATATTCGTTTAATTTTTACGATCAGGTTTATCATTACAGAAAATATCAAAGGAATTTCATTTGTTACATTTGTTCCATTTTCTTTATTAAAAGATTTTATATAACTTGACATGTTCTGTTGTTTGTCTGTCTGTCTTTCGCTATTTTATAAATCTTTTAACTTGATTTTGACCCACATATGGACATCATATTGAACTGCAATTTTGTTCTCTTTGTTTGTAACAAATTACTTGTTTCCTTACTTTTTGAACATTCTGCATATTATTATACTATTTAATTAATGAAATAATACTCTGACAAATAAAGGTTGAATTCTACAGTGACTTGGGCTATGTGAACAAAAAACTACAATATTGGATGTTACAGGTACTCTAAGATTAATACAATAGTGACCAAATATTTTTTTTCCTATCCCTGCCATTTACACCCTCAGTACATTCAACAGACCTTAGTATAAACTATACATGGTGCTCAAAAAGTAAAGAAACAGGTCTATTGTTATAAAGAATGAGAAAAATAGAAATCCGTTTTCTTCTTTACTGAACACCTATACAGAAGAATGTTAGTAAGGAAAGAATGGAAATGGTTTCTATTATTCTCATTGTTTGTAATAATTGACCTGTTTCCTTACTTACTGAACATCTGTAGTACATTTAGACTCGTTCATATTTAGGCCATTTTATTGACACCAATTATAAAAAAATCAAGGTGATATTGAAGAAGTTTAATAACGTCGATGTTATCAATAGGTAGATATAATTGTTAGTCATTAGCAAAAAAAAAAAAAAAAAAATAGTAATGGAAGCAGTCCTTACATCATTAATAAAAATTAGAAATAGCTAGGGAACAAATATTTTGATGTTATGATCCTAAGATAAATGTAGATGGATATTAATTTGACTGAAATAGTTTTAATACTGTTTTATTGGGCCAGGTGTGTCGCAATGGATCATTCAGTCACTATATTGGTATTTCTATTTTAACATTATCTTTGGTAGCAACAATACTAATAAAATTGTTCTATGAAGTTATAGGTAATATATTGAAATGTGTTACTATAATATAGAATTTCAAATAATTAAATAAATTTAAATTTTTTATTGATGTATTAGTTTCTACTACAAATTTTTATTAACTTTTAATAACTATTAGATGGCTATAAAAATTATAATTAGATGTTAATGAAAATTAAGAAATATTGGATCCAGAATTTCATATTTATGTTAAACTCCATTGAACTTATTAATATTTTAAATACTGAGATCAAAAATACTATAGTTTCAGTACCTTAAAATAATACAAATATTCAGAAAAACATATTTTATAATGTAATATCTTTATAGTAATATGACTATAAAAAAATATAATACGAATATGTATTCAAAATTATACCTACTAATAACCAACTATTATTTAGCACAACAGGTATGCAACAGAAAACTTTACAATCATTAAAATATAATTAGTAAATACCGTGTTATTTGTGTTTTCTATTAACGTAACACAAAATATAAACACAACGGTGATGCGCACACACAAAACTGTGTCTAAATAAAAAACATGCGCATGGACTTAAAAGAAAAGCTCATAATTTGGATAAAAACAAACGGATTTTAACAAATTAATCGTAGTACCCCTAGAAGGGTTCGTATAACGTAGAGTTCTGAAAGTTATACGGGAGTTTCATCTATCTAATTCCTAACTACTATAATTTTGTGCGAATGGGGATCTTTACCTCGTGACCTTGAGAACACTCTATTGTTCCCTTTTCGTATTATCTTTACCTATTTTGGTACTTCTTTGATACTAGAGAGATACTATTAATTAGATTGTTGCAATTATAGTTATGGCGGTGAAAAGTTATATGGAAAGAAATCATGGTCTACTATTGAAACTATGTACTTAGAGTTCTATACTTACAAGCATAGATATGTGTTACTAGTAACTTGGAGAAATCAATAATTTCATTTAATAATTTATAAATAAGTACATTATTATAAAGTCGTCTATTAGTTAAAGAAATTTATGAAGCTTAAAATATCTTGTGTCTTAGTAATCTTATGTCGCGTGAATGAAAAAAATTTGAGTTGGACGGCTTTTGAGTTCATTAATTTTTTTATAATAATTAAATTTTTGACGAAAGTTTATGTCAAATTAGCCATCCTTTAAAAATCTTTAATATTTTTTCAAGTGCATAGGAGGGCGAACAATCTTAGTATACTCCACATTTAATGGTCTTTTTTTTATCATCCTTCTTTTTATTTATTTTTAGTATAATTTTCATTTATTTTAATCAGAAATAATGCGAATAATTTCACAATTAGAAAATTAATTCCTAAAAAAAGTCATCCGTGTTCTGAGAATAGGAAAGCAAAATGTTTAAAGCTTTAAAATTAAAGCTTCGAGTTTTTGATTTTTTTTAACCCATCCTACATTTTTAATCAAATTTGTTACTATAATTGTAGTTAAATTTTGATAAATATACCCTTAACTATAATACCATATACATGTTTATTAACCCTTTCAAAGGCTGATATTATTTAATTTCTAAAAATTATATTCAATTTTTTTTTTAATTCACAAACAAGCACATCTTAATAAAATAAATGAAATGTATTATGTTTAAAAATATTTATTATTACTGATATATTTTTATCATTTATATTTAAATATTTATTTTTAAGAATTAATTACAAGTCATACCATAGACATTATTAAAGAAGCGAGATCTAAAACTCTTGGTCCATTTAGTCCTTCCATGAATATGTCGGAACACCTATATTCTCGTTTAAATGAGGTAAAATTGATACATTTATTATACATATTATACATGCACGTATTACATAAATTGTTTTAATTTTTTTTTAGGATATACCAGATGATGTACACGAAAGAGTTACTGGTAAATTATTTGTATCTTTAACAAGAGTACCAGATGGTAAAAATGTTATTAAGTCTGAATTTTCTACAAAAGAAGAAGTAATACAGGTAAAATATGATCTGCAGTTGCATTAGATTTGTTTAGATATTTTTGTTTATGTGGGTTTTTGTCTTATACTTAAACTCACCCATGTGAAAATAAATTAGTATACCTTAAGCACACATGCAAACTATATCCTTGATTACAGAATTTTTAAAAGATTATTGAAGTAATAAATATAAATAAATATTATGATTATTTATAAGTTTTATTTAATATCAGAATGTTAAGTGATACAACAGATAAATATTTCATTCCTTATAGAACTTCAGTATTTATATTCTGTATAAAAGATAATAATATTTTATTTTTTCAGACATTATTAGCAAGCGCTTTTATACCTGTTTTTTCTGGATATGTACCACCAATGATAGGTGAATACAGATATATAGATGGTGGTTTTAGTGACAATTTACCTATATTAGATAAACATACAATAACTGTGTCACCTTTTAGTGGTTTATCTGATATTTGTCCTCAAGATAACTCAGATCTTAAATATTTAGTAAGTGATATATTTTTTCTGCATAAGGAAACATGTATATTAAATTTAAAACTAAATGAATTATGGCAAAGTGAGGTGAACATTAACAAATGAAGTATATGTAAATATATTTTTTATCTTAGAATATTTAACATATTTTATTTTAGACTTAAAAGTTTTGGTCTTTATATGTGTTACTGTCATATTAGATGTAAGTTTGAAATAAGAACTTATGTATTTGCAATTAGCTCAATTAGAATAAAAAAACCCACACTTTACCCTGCTTCACTTTATTTTTGAGAATTTTAGTTTTTTTGAGTTATTCAATTATATTATGATATTCTTTTAGATAGTGGCAGAATTTTAATAACATTATTGGAGGTACTATTTAATAAAAAAATTAATTTTTTCCATTCTAAAATATTTTACTTTAACAGTAAATATAATTTTCTAATTTTTTAAGGGTAATGTATGTAATTGTGCCACTACATTTAAATAAATTAGATAGTATTTTAGACAAATTGAATCAGTTTTTAATTTTAAGAATTTTTTTACATTCTATTTTTCACTCTAGAAATTAATTTATTTAGATAAAATTTAATTATAAAACAAAAGAGAAGGTGATTTTTTTTTCAGTTCATGAAGTATTACAAACGAATAACAAGTCAATTGACATAAAATTATAGTAATAAAATTTTCAATTATGATTTAATTTTTATCTTTTAAAATAAAAAATCATGCACAAATATTAAAAACTATATTTTTTGTTATTATTATTTATGTTTTTAGTTTTAATTTATTTCGTAATTTAGACTTTTATATTATTACTCAATTTTTATCAATGTATATTTTGGCAAATTTAAATTATTATAATGCTCTTAAAATATGATAAATAATAACACAAGTCATCAGTTATTTTTTTGTTTACAATTTGTATATGGAAATTTGACACTGATTATTCAAGTGTAATAGAATTTTTGTATCATTAAAAGTCAAAAGTTATATTTGAGTGTCATTTTTCAAAAAAAAAATGTCAGGCGTAATTTTTTTTTTGTTTAACTTACAATTTTAATACTTTAATCAACAAATAATTTAATATAAAAATTTAAACAATAGCTTTATGTATTTTGAGTAAATATAATGTGATCAAATTGCTGTTAATACAAAATATATAGGAAAATCTTAAAAATTGTGCACTGGTTTGTTTTTTTATATATTTTCTAGTATTGTTTATTTTAAAGTAATGATATAACACAATCTTATATTTTTTAATGTTAAATACAATAATGTATTTAGATTTTATATATGAAAATTTTATAATTATTTATTTATATTATTATTGTATCTTTCTTATTAAACATTATGATATTATTTTAGAAAAGTTAAAAAATAAATTTAATTTTTTTATAAGGATTTTACTTTGTAATTTTGATTAATTACTAATTACATTAAACACTAAATTTTATAGAAAAAATCTGATGACAAATTCGGAATCAGTGTCAAATATTCATATACAAATTGTGAAAAATAAATTTTTTTTTTTTGTTATTTGTTGTCGGTGTTATTTATGTATAAATAACTTGATTTTTCAGGTGAATATAGCAAACAATAGTTTTGAGTTAACTAAATCTAACTGTTTTAGATTAGCTAGGATAATGTTTCCTCCTGAGCCAGAGGTTAGTTTTTTTACATGCTTAATTAAAATATCTCATAAAATCAAGATTTGGAACCAATAAAAAAAAGTATTAATAATATTAATAAAATTATTAATAATGTTAGCAAACCTTTACAGATAAATTGATGATAATATAAGTCTAGATCCAAAATTTATTAAATCCATTATTGTTATGTATCTGGTTTTTTTAATTTTAAGATCTTATCTTATTCATGGTTTTTAAATCTGGGTTTTGTCATATTAAATAAATAACCTATTATAATAATTGTAATTAACCATTATTTTAAATATTTTATCTTATAAGATGGTTTCTCAATTATGTAATCAAGGATTTGATGATGCTCTTCGATTTTTACAAAAAAATAATTTAATCAATTGTAAAGTATGTGTAGTACAACGATTTTCATTCGAATTTAGAAAAAATAATTCTAATGAGTCCACTAAAGATGATTCATGTTGCTATGATTGTAAATGGAATAATGCAGTATGTATCAATTTTTTAATTTTTAATTAAATTTTTTTTTATAAATTCTAATTAAGTTTTTCTTTTTTAGTATGCTAAAGTACAAGGAATGCCTTACTCAATTACTTATGTATTGGATCGTTATATAGAGTCTCATAACAACATTTTTAGTTGGATTTTTAAAATGAAAGGGATGCGTATTATATCATTACTTTCACTGCCTTATTTTATAGCTGCTGATGTAGCTTATGCATTTGTTCAAAAGTAGTACCAAAATTTATTATAATTGAGAATGTATAATTTCTAAATTTATATTTTTTTAGAGTTATAAGTTCCTCACAAAATTTACAAAATTGTATATGGACTCTCTCGAAATACATCATTAACAGTTTACTTCATTTTGTTGATGTATTCAGTCAAAAAGGTTTAGAATTTGTTGGCAAAGTGTTATCTTATAGTTATGTTTCCATTGAAAATCATGCTAAACAAACTCCTTATTACTATTTTTATAATGAAAGACTTGAGGACTTAAAATGCATTAGATGTTCAAAAAATATCTTGGAATACTTTAATGATTTTCATCAAGCCACATCTGCAATTGTTATGTAAGCGTTATATAAAAATTATTTTTATAAACAAATTTCTTAAGTATTAAAATTTTTATTTACTTAAGAGATGGACCTGGTTGTATTTCTTCTGAACTAGATTTGTATAATCAACAAGTGAAATCTGTAAGATCTAGAAAGCACTCTACTAGACATTGGACCCTTTCTTTGTCACCAGATTTAGTTTTGACTACTTCAAAGTAAATTATTTAATACAATTTTATTTATCAACATTTATAGAAATACTATCTGACAATGTTGTTTTATTTAACTTTAGTGAGAGTGTATCTGATAAAACTGTTACCACTGCTAGTATTGGATCAGCAGAAGAACTTTGTCAACTTAAATATGATTTGCAAAAAGGCGAGGGAGCTTTAGAAAAATTCATAGCTGATGTAGGTAATCAAGAGCCCTTAGTTGTTTACCACTATGGACAAGATTTAAAAAATGTAAGGTTTTATGATTATGTTTTTTTAATTTTTTATCTGATTAGAAATTCAATATTTAGGTGAACACAATTGATAATTTGGATGGAAAATTTTCATTAAATGATATTGATGAAACAGCTGAAGTTTTAAAAATTGATGGATTTATAATATCAACACAATCTAAAAATACTTCTGATTGTAAGTAATTTTAATGCTAGTTATTCCATTCTTTATCAGGAATATATTCAGAAGACACATGAATCTGGACTTGAAAAAGATAATGACATTGAGTGAGAACAGTGTAGGGGTATTTTATGTATCATTAATATTACAGATAGATCCAACTAAAGAGAACTGTTTGTATCTCTGTCATGAATACTTTTAACTGTTGTAGGGATGGATTTTGCTTTTTGTAAATCTTTCAATGCTACCTTTTTTACAGGAGCATTGCGAAACATTAAAGTTTCTGTTATTTAAGATTTAAAAAATATTATTATCAGGATATTATATATATATATATACAATTAAGATAATTAATTTTTTATTATTTTTATGTAGTTTTAGATAACATAGTTGAAGTTGATCCAATTAAATATTAGAAAATAAATGTTTCAAGATACTCAAAATTTTACAAATATGAGATAAAAATTTGTTTTTAGCTAAATGTTTGCATTTTTCTCTCAAAATTTTATTGAATTACTACTTGAAAGCCAATGATGATAGAATTTCAAAGTCAAATTTTTCATTTTATATCATACTTAATGGTTATGTTTTTCAAGAGTTGTACATTATACCATCATAACATGTGCATATTAATTCAATTTTTTTCACTAAGCAACACTTCAATTAATGGTTATGTGTTTTAAACTCTGACAATTGTGTATTATTTAAATGAAATTAATTAAATTTGATATTTTTAAATTGTAATGATTATAATTAAAAATACCAATATTGGATATTTCATTGTAACTTGTTTTAAATCTAATGAAAATATAGTATTAATTTTTTGTATAGTGGTCTATGACACAATTTTTCTTTATATTCTATATCTTATATACTTGATCTCTAATAAATAGACTTAAAACAATAACTTTTTATATTATTTAAGTGATATTTTTAAACATAAATATTGTATTTTTTTTAAATAAATATATGTTACTTTTATATTTGTTTTGTATCTAAAAACTACTAATTCTTTTTACTACCCAAAATATCTGATATTCACAATTATTCATAACACAATTTTATTTACAATTAATTAATTGTCAAAATTAATTATTTTTCAATATATGCTACTGAAAATAATTAAATCTCAATGAAGTTCTAATTATGGAATAGTAACAATTCCATAAGTTCAATTACCACACCAAAAAATTAGACTGAAGATCAGTTTTGTTAAGATGGTGTGTTATGTAAGGCAGAGGATTTATAATTTAGATAAACAACTAAATAAGCATGTATTTACCTACAATATGCACTCAACAAATTTTGATCCAATATTTTATATAAAGAAGATACACCATATATATAATGTCAAGTGGAAGTTTAGGATAAGGGTGACCGACCCCAAGTAGTTGGGATTAAGGTGAGGAAAAAGAAGAAGAAGAAATGTATATACATTCTATATACATCATAAATGTATATAGAAGCAATACAATGTTATAGAATATTAAAAAAAAAAAAACAAAGCACAGTAGAGGGGACGTAGCATAGTTGGGTCCAGTATAGATATAATTTAACAGTGATTAAAATCAAATAGTGTTTAATTCTAAGAAATTGAAGAATTACAAAATCAACATCAACTTCTATTTCTTTAATTGTATCCAGATTAGTAATTCTTAGATTCAAAAATATAATATATAATTTTTATAATTAATTGTTTTCGAATTATTATTGATTTTGATTTTTAAAATGTTAGAATTCATCATCCTTAACCTACTTTTTTTTGTACTTTAAAGTGAAAGTTTATAATAAAAAAAAATAAGAATTTATTGCCATAACTATTAGCTCGACTTACAAGTTTGAAATTGCCATTATTAAATAGAAAATAATTGTACTCTGTACATTCAAATTTTTATGACTTATAAATTTGGATCACTATTTATCAAAAATCTTAATTATTACTTCTGTTCTTGAAAAACTGACTATTTTTATTAAAAATATATTAGAGGATCCTAATCAAGGTCCTTGTTTAGCTAGGGTTTTTTATAGTTTTATAATAATTTTCAAAAATGCTGAAATTTTCATAGTTAAATGTTTTTACTCTGATATAATTGAATGAAAGATGTTTAAAAAAATAATTACACTTTCCCGAATTGTTTTAAATTTAAAATTACTTAAATTATTAATGATGATGATAAGGTGACAGATTTTTGTATCCTCCTCTTAAAAGAACGATTCACTCTTTTAAAGTTGTTATTTGGTTTATAATAAAAATAAAAGAATTTAACCATAACCTTTAATTCAACTTGTAAGTTTGAAATTGCCATAATTAAGAAAAATGTAAAAGTTTAAAAGATTAAAAATTCTGACCGATTACTAATTGGTCAGTGTTACATCCTAGTTATTCTTTTGACTCTTCCCAAAGACACTTAAATGTATGGTTAAATTGAGTTTAGAAAACTCAGTTTACCATAGTTGAACTTAAAGAAACCCAAAAAAATTATTGATATTTTTAACACGCTTATATTAGTTTCACCTGTATGTAACTCTCCAAACGCCACGCGTTATCGCATATTCCGTCGTCTAGACTAGACTGTCATAACGTATTCACCCCACCCCACGCCACGCTCATCACACACCGGCAATACTATTCCTGTATAAATTTATTTTTGGTTATCGTACCCGTACACGAGTGCTTGTCATCAATATTATATATATATAAACAAATTTTTATTTTGACTGACCAATACCATCCGCCTACCACACGGCTTATGTATATATTCCTACCGCCGTTTATACCTCAGGTTCAACGTTAGTCCGACCCGCCCGCCCACAAAACACGGCTATACCTAATGCATGATACGTTTACGTACTTAAGTCGCTTTACATGTATATATATATTCTAATTACTATTAAAAATATATAATAACACACTTTATTCTTATTTAGAGATATAGAACTCATTCATTCCAATTACAAAGGATGAACCCAGTATCGTCATTTTTCGTCACTACCTCCATGTTCCGGGAGTGGGTAATTTACGCGCCTGCGTATAATATATAAATGAATATTAACATATACGTATATATATATAGTAAAGTGACTTAAGTACGAAAAAATGTATCATACATGAGGTANTACTTTCCTTGGATGTGGGAGCCGTTTCTCAGACTTCCTCCCCGGGATCGAACCCTGATTTACCGTTACCCGTTACAACCATGATACTGATAGTAACTACTATCATAACATAAAACTAAAAAGTGAAAAATAAATATAGTTTAAAAAAACTAAAAAAATACGCTTTTAAAGCACATTGAACTAAAAAGTAAAAAATAATTTTTATTCATAATTATTTTAAAAATTGTATTATTATTATACATGAGACATATATGGCGGCAGCGGCGGTGGGAATATATAAATGAATATTAACATATACGTATATATATATAGTAAAGTGACTTAAGTACGAAAAAATGTATCATACATGAGGTATAGTCGTATTTTTTTAGCGGTTGGTGCGCGGCGGGAACGCTATACGTGTGGCATATACGTCGGCGGCGGTGGTAGGAATATGTAAGTGAATATTAACATATACGTATATATATAGTCTAGTCTCAAGGCCATAGATAACGGGAAGCGTGTTAAAAATGAATTCAAATAACAATATTCTCTAGCAGTTAAAAAATTACATAAGAATTAACTAAAAACATAAACATAAATTTATTAATTCTAAATATTAACAAAATAACATGTGTTTACGACATAATATTTCTCTCGATCTATCAATCATAAGGTATTTTTTAACACGCTTATATTAGTTTCACATGTATGTTGTGTGTTGTTTGTAACTCTCCACGCGTCATGTGTTATTATTCTCGCGTATCCCGTCGTCTATGATCTTGAGACTAGACTGTCGTAACGCATTCACCCCACCCCGCTCACCACTCGCCGACAACACTATTACTAAATAATTTTCTTTTTGGTTTTCGTATCCGTACATGCGTGCGTATTATCAATATTATATATGTATAAACAAATTTTTATTTCTTATTATTAGATATAAACATTTCAAGATACAATTTTTTTTGAGTTAATACACACGTATAATATATAATGGAATACAAATAGAGGTAGCTAAATGGTTTTTTATGACGATATTCGCAGATATATAGCCTTTATTATCAATAGTCATAAGACACAATGTTGTGAGTTTTTAAACATCCTAACTGGCAATACAGAAATTATATCTATTGATAGTCATAATTTACAATAAACACTACGTGACTGTGACAGCGATGTTATAAAAACTAAACAATAAAAAATTATATAGTTTAAAAAAACACGTTTTTAAAGCACATCGAACTAAAAAGTTAAAAATAAGGTAAAAAAAAATAATGAACGAAAAATAATATTATATAATAATAGTAGTATTATTGTTAAAAAAAGCGTGGAGGCTTTGTGCCATATTTTTCGTATATTGAGTGCCCGACGCTGTTTTTACAATAATACTAATATTTTTCGTTCATTTTTTTTTTTCACCTTATTTTTAAAATTATTTTAAACTTTTTAGTTCGATATTCTTTAAAAGCGTGTTTTTCAGATTTTTTAAACTATATTTTTATGTTCATCTCTATCATATTTCTCCAATTCTATAAATATCTATGAAAGATAAATACTGCTAAATAAAGTCAAAAAAATATTTTTAAGATCATTATTATTATTAGAAGAAATTATGGTCAATGATAAACCAATCATTCTGAACATATTGTAGCTAGATTGGTTTATAAGTCGCACAAGTGCCGAATAACAATATTTTATTTAGCCGAAATGGTGACAAGGGAAAGCGTTTGTCATCAATGTAAAAACCTATACGCACGTGCACATAATAGATAAGGATTTTCTATTTTGTATATGGCCGTTTATTTATCATTTAAAACTGCTAAATTGTGATAGCGTGTATTATATTATATATATATGATAGAATAGTCTTTTTGATTCGTTAATAGTCAAAATCACGTGCATTTCATTTTTAATAATAATCATTTAGTTTAAGAAAGTGTGTATATTCGTGGAAATTTTGTTTCCTGTTCAGCGATTCTAATATTTTATTAGGATTATTGTGAATGTCATGTTGTGAATATCTATGTTATTGATTTTATCTTATTGGTATAATTTTCATAGGTTCTAATTTCCTATACACGAAAGCAATTTTATGTATTTTTAAAGAGACATTTATATATGACGTTTATAACTCTTAACTACGATTGACATCATGTTTTTGTCTCCACTTACATCAAATGGAGTTAAGGCGTTTTTGTCTGTAGATACATGGACTGAGGTTTGTTTTATTAAATGCTTACAGTTATTATTACAGTAGTTTCCATTTCCATAACGCGTAACCGTTGTTTACTTATTAATTACAAAATGTTAAGTTTAAGTTTGCTAATTTTACTAATTGAATATTTAATATTATTGTAATGATTTTCGATAGAATTCAGTTAATTTATTGTATTTATAATTAACTAGTTTTTATAATGATTATTTTTAAATATATTTAATTTTTAGTCATCATGTTTATTTCTCTATGTTCTATTAGTAATTGAATATTAACTGTTAGAAACTAAAAATAATTATTGGATACTTAATAAGTTTTAATGACTTTTATAAAATGTATTATTTTGAATTGTTGTATTTTACCTAAAGAATGTTTTTATAGTTAAAATCTTTCAAACTAAATTCAGGATCCTGATTTTTTATTATAATTAAACAAAATTGTGTGATTATTGACAATAGTCAGAAAACTAACCTATTTGTATAATTGTATCATAAAATAAATTATTAAATCTATAGTGTTTCATAAGAATAGTTTTTAAATTAATTGTATTTAATATTAAAAACTAATTGCAGTTTTTGAACTGTTCTTAGAGCTCTTGTCTTATAATCTATTGGCTTGCAATTTAATTGTTTAATTTTTTTTTAATGAATTTATTTTATAGGTTTAATGACATTTTGATAGGATAGTATAATGGCCAAATAGCTACAGGCCTTAAATGAAATATCGCATATCTGTATAACTATCATTATAGTTTTAAAATTTAAAAATTCAATAATTATTTAAAATAATTCTGTATTTATGAAAAACAAATTTTCTATTTAGAATATTGACATATCGTCAGATTTAGTCAATATATAGACATATTTTTGTAGAAAAAAAAAACATTTTAAAAAGTTTTATAAATAAGCTCATTGATAATTTAGTAGTTACATAATATATATCTCTATAATTTTATTATTATAGGTTATAATTTTATTACGTTTATTATTTTAAATATTATAAATATAAGAAAAAGAAATGTAGCTGTGTAATACAGCTACATCTAATTATATAATATTTTATTGTATTTTTTATCAGGTAATTTTGATTTCAAGTAAAACTACTATTAATTCTGTATATTTTGTTACTACTGAAGATAAGTTAAAAAAAAGAAAAGATGATAGTCATAAAATTGAAGTACAGAGTAGTTCATATGAAAAAGTTAAAGATTTCATTCCATGGTCACTAGTTGCTGTGGAAATTGATGGCAATTGGTAAATAAATATATTCATTAATTATAATTGATATTAGTGTTGCATTTTATTTTAAATTTAAATTGTTTTGAAAATTTTTCTTTTTTTTATATGTATTTTTCTTATGTCTTATAAGAAATTCTATGTAATGTTTGTTATAAGGAATCTTATGATTATTTTGTTGGTAAATATACTGCTATATATTTTTTTTTTGAAGTGAAGCGAAAAAAAAATTAGGTTTGTTTTTAATTTGACTCTTTAATGACTGTCTTATTTTCTACATCCCCTAAAAATAAATTCTAGGACACTTAAATGTACCTCTTATGTAAATTAATTGAATATTATTTATAGTATTACTTGAAAAGTACTAAATGGTCATATATTTATAATGTCCTTACATTTCTTTCACACTGAAAAGATTTAAACATGACAATAAGGTTTTTTTGGTTACTAGGTACTAGGAATTTGAGTAATTCACATTATCTATATAGTCTGTATTTTTTTAATGGTTCTAATTCTTAAATTTTTATTTATTACCTGAATTTAATGAAATAAAACAATCTAGTCATTAACATCGAGTGTTAGAATTTGAATATTGATTTGTTCTTTATAAGAGATTCTATACAGAAATTACAATTTTAAAGGTTATTAATGTTAAAAAAACAATTATTTTTCATTTAAACAGTGTCAAAAATTCCATTTATGTTTAAACAAGATTATTATTTTTGAAATGCTGCGTGAGACTAAAGTAACCTTTTGTAGCAAAACGGGGAATTTGAAGGAAGACTTATGATTATTTCTAAGAAAACAGAAATATAATTATGTATATATATATTTTTAATTCAATTTTTTTTTACACATCTGCTTTTATATTCTGTTTTCTAAGAAATTATATTTATAGATAATAAACTTGCTATTTTATTTTTTATTTGGCCGTATATGCAATTATTAGATCTGGTTCTAACTATTTATTTTTAAAGTAACGGCCACTTAATTAAACTTAGTAAAAACTCATGTCAAAGTTAACTTTTACTTATTTTTAGGTTTAGAGGAAAATTAATAAGTTACAATGAGTACCAGCAAGATGATACTTGGATAGAATTAATTGATTGTGGTTCAATGTATCAAACAAAACTTAAAGATTTATATATACTTCCATATTACCTCCTTTATGAACCATTGGTAAAATTTTGATAAATATTTTGTTAATTTGGCACATAACTTAATTTAAATATTCTTTTTTAGTGTCTTCCAATTAAATTCAAAAACTTTGTGCCTAAAGAAAAATATCTGAAAATTAAAGCTCTGTTAACTGAAAGTGTAATAATCATTTTTTTTTATTTATATAAAAAATGGCTTAAAAATATTTTAAATATTATTTTTGGACTAATTATATAGTCCAGGGGTGGGCAACTGACGGCCCGCGAGCCATTTTTATCTGGCCCGTGCTACATTTTCAAATTGGAATATACAATTTTAAAGTTTATCTACAAAAGAGATTGACATAAGCTTTTAGAAAAAATTACCTTTTCTAAAATATCCACTTTATGAGATTTCGCATTAAAAATGTTATCCATATTTGGGACTACTTACATATGTAAATGTACATTTTCAAACATTATTAAATCAAAACATAGAAATCGCCTTACAGATGAAACATTAAGTCACTTACTTCGTGTTTCTTCGTCCGAAATAAAAGTCGATTTTGTTGCATTGTCACTAGAAGCCACTCATGCTCAAAACTCACCCTAAACAAATATCAATTTATATTTAATTAAATTATTTTAATTATCCTTTTTGTATTATTACATTATAAACAAAAAAATGCTAATTAAAATGTACATTTTGAATGACTATTTTTTTTTTTTTTTTGCTTTCTATGCTCTGACCCGCTAGATTTTAATTTTTTAAAAATTGGCCCTCTAGTAACTTTGAGTTGCCCATCCCTGATATAGTTTATTATAGTAAAAATATATAACATAGTTTCAGATAAATCTGAAATTTTGTTTTTAATTTTATGATTCCATTTGCAAAAGAACATCTTTAAACATGTTTATATCAGTAAACATTTTATAGCATTTGAAATGTCCATAATACCAATGTAAATTTTGAAATTTTTGATGTTATAAATACTTTTAAAATACTCTTTAACATGCATACTTCTAATTTTTTAACAGGAACTTTATGAAGGTTATGTTTTTGTTAATGTTTTAACATCAGAAATCTCTCAAAAAAAAGTAGTACCATCCATATTAGTAGAATCTAGATTCAAGTAAGTGCATAAATAATTATAGTATAGGAAAAAAATCATGTTTTGATAATTAAAATTTTTTATTGCGGAATAATTAATAATTTCATATATTTCTTAACTATTAATTACTTTTTCGATCTATCCCTTATCCTTTATAAGGGCATCAACTTTATTTTTTTTTACTTTATAGTATTATATAATGTGTATTACCATAAATATGCATATTATACATATTTAAGTAGCTTATTTAATAAAAAAAAGATATATCCAAGAAAATGGTATTTGATAATTTTTGGAACAGTACTTCAGAAGTTATTTACAACTTTTTACTATTTTTGACTGAAAAAGCATGAGCAAAAAATTTCTTAAGATAAAAATAGTTATACATACCAGGAAAAAACATTTGAAGAATTGCTGATTGTATTTGATCAATTTTCTATCTCGAATAATCGATAAAAGTTATCAAAAAATGGACAAAATTTTCGTTGAATTTTTACTCTTATATAATATTTATATATATTATAAAAGAGCAAAAAATATGTTGAACTAAAAAAACAAAAAGAAATATTCACAAAATTATTTTTTGTTTTGTAAGTACAGGTAATTGAGTGGGTTATGATGAATGTATTAATTTGTTAATTAAAAAAGAAATGTAATTGAAGGTAATTAGATATTTGAAAAATACCATAAATCACATTTATCAAATTTTTGGAAAACAAGTATAAACTTCTTATTGGTTGTGTTATACCACATCTGCTAAAATGTGTTTCTTTTATAATACATAAAATTAAAATTATTTTTAATACTAATACTAACTTCAGAATATTTTACTGGGTGTTGTTTAATTTTTAATTTACTAAGCTAATAGTGTGTGTTTTTTGAATGAATGTTCAAAGAAATGATTTTATTTATAAAAACCTAAGAATTAACTTTTGAAATAAAATTAATTATTTTACACTACATGCATCAGTTTTAATATAATTAATTAAAAATCATGTCAAATTTTAGACCGAAGAATGAAGAAACAGTTTTACAATTAACAAATGGCTATTGCAATGGAGTTTCTGAGTATTTATCAATGTTATTTTTTTTATTTAATAAAATAAAGTAGTAATTAGAGAATAGTTTTAGAAAAAATGGATAAAATTATATAGCTCTTTGTTAGAAAATAGAATTCTTTTAATAGCAAGTTCCATTTGAGAAATGTTGAAGTGAAACTTCTTTACAGAGGATCCGAAAAAAAATGCTTGCTTCATGGTTGGCATTTTGATCGGATATTACTGATATTGTTTTATTAGGTATAGGATCAGAATTCTATTGTTCAAAGAAATATATAAGCTCAATAAACTTGTACGTTTGATAAATGATTATGCTCCATGATTGTTTGCAATTAATTGTAATATAAATAATAATTTTGAATTCTAATTTTATTAAACTTGATTTTTAATATTAAAATATTTATTTTTGATTAATATATTAATATATTACTTTTTAATATCAAAACTTTATCACTAATACATATAAATATAAAAATTGTTAATTTAATGTGAATTTAAAAGAATGTACTGCATTTATTATTTTAAATAATAAGTATATAAGAATTTAATTATACAAATTCTAAAAAAAAAAAATGCACAATTGCTAAATTGTTGCACATGTTAAATTAAATTTATTAATGCATTTTAAACAACAATGCTTTAATTTTCAAATATAAAGTGTTACATATATTTTTTATTCAAATTTAATTAAATTTATTTATTTTAATAATTATATTAAAATAAATAAGTATACATAATTAATATAAATAATAAATATATTTATTATAGTATTTATTTATATCTTAATTAATATAAATATAAAAATTAATAAATATAACTAAATGATAATATAAAATATAATTTATTATTTATGTTAATCATTTATTCTTTATTATTTTTATATGTATATAAATAAATAATATATATAATAAAAATAAATGTAATATTTCTAAATTTAATTAATGATATTAATGAATGATTAAAATTATTAATATAAATAAATTTTATCTATATGTACTGTTATTAATAAATAATAACAGTAATTATTAAAGTATATTTTATATTATAATTAACCACTTTATTTTTGAAAATTTAAGTAATTTTATTTCAAATAATTATTTTTTTGCATAAAAAATAAAAAAATCCACAATAGATGCAATTTTTAAATATCTTCATAATGTCCAATCATTAATTTTCATTAGTTATTTCAGTTATATTTCATTATTTTTTTTGTTACAATAGAATAAAATAATTTATAATAATAAAATAAAATAAATTTCAATTGAAATAAAGTTGTTAGGTGTTTTTTTAATTTATTTCAATACAAACCTAATATCTTATCGGATGATTGACTCTGAAAGAAGTTTCATTTTCATCCGCATATACTCGTAATACACTAGTATTTTATTGATAACTTAAAAACCTATATTGCATTAAGACAGTGTTTTTTAATTTTACTTATCATGAAAATTTATTTCCTAAACAAATATTTATACATTTTTAAATTGTTAAAATGTCAAGCGTCATTTTTTTGCATCGATTTTTATTTAGGCTACTTTTACTATTAATTTTAATTAATATGAAGTGTGGACAAACATTTTTTTTATATATTTTAATTTAAAACTGGTGTTATACACCATATATTATATTATATTTTATTATTCAAATATATGAATTCTGGAGTGAATGAGATAGTTTTAAAAAAAGTTATGTTTTTGATAAAAGACAATAATAAAATGAATTGAAAGTCATTCAGCAAATATTATAAGCTGTGTAGTGATAGTCATGAAAGTTAAAGGATTATAAAAACGGCCCTAAAAGCAAAATGTATGAAAAAATGGTTATCTGAAAACATCAATAGTTCATAAAAATACTTAACTTATTCATGATCCAATGATGTGAAATTTATTAAAAAGTGAATGATAAAGTTTTTTTTTCAAGAAATAGAAAATGTTCAATTAATGAGGAAAAATTGAGACTAATATGAATTTAATTATCGAGGAGTATGTTATGGGGGGCACTATTTAAAAATAAATTTTCATTAAAATGTTGGAAAAAAATTTGTTTACACTTCATATTTATAGTTTTATTCTTACTATATTATAGATTTATTCTTGAATATACACTTTTAGTCTTCACAGTTTGCCATGTCTTAGAAAAGGTAGTTTTAATAATACTATTAAGCAAGATATTCCTTTGAAAAATGGTGATAAATGTTGTATTACATACTTTGATGATTATAATGCTATTTATGTTGTAAAAACTGAAAATAAGAGAGTTATTGGTGTTGAAATAGTAGAAAAAACTGTTTTTTGTAAAGGTTTGTTTATATCTTGAAATTTGTTTTATAAGTTAAATATTTTATAAGTTTAAAAAAAGTAAAACAAAAATTACTATTCCATAAAAATACTTAATTTAGAAAAATTATTATTTACATAAAGTATATTTTATTAATTAATTTTTATTGTATTGGATTTAAGAGCCTAATTTCTTTAATTAAATTTTTCTTTTAGCTACGTCTGTTGCTTTAGTTTATTTTTATTATAATTTAGAGACGAGAACAGTAATTCCATGTAAATTTGCTTTAAAATGTTTTATGCTGTTGATTTTAATTACTTTCAGATTTTAATCTATTCTGGCTTTTATTTTGCTGTGTTTTTCCTGTACTTTTTTTATGATAAAATAAATTACATAACAATGCTATCAATACATTATGTATTGTATATAAAATTTAAATGGTATCTATGACATTTGCATGTCAGAATATCAATCATATTTCAATTCTTTTTATTATACTATATTAGAAATATATTATTTCTATAAATTCAATTTTTTTTGTAGGGAAGCTTATAATATTCATTCGTTAATGTGAATGATACATTAAATTACAATTTACAATTATAAAAATACTAGGTTACTTAATTAAATAGAAACAAGTTCAATAATTTTATGAAACAAATATATTTTAATTAGTATTAATAATATAAAATTGTTAACAATTAAAATACCATAGAAGCAATTTTAAAAATGCACAATCCCTTTTAAAAACTCTTAATGAGTTTTTTGTAAAACTTAGTACAATTATTTTTAACTCAAGTGGCGGCATCATTTTTACTTTTTTTGGTTTAAATGGTTTACTTTTACCTACTATTTTTTAAATATTTACATAATTTTATGATAAGGTATTGAAAAACATTAACCTCTCAGACTAGTTTATAATTCACCAATTTTAATGAACCTGTTGGACTTAAAAGTTTTAGTAGTACCGCTTTATTATAAACACAATTGAAAATAATTAGTTAAATTAATTTTTATTCATCAACAGATACAACTCCAAAATTGAACCCTGTAGTTGGTGATGTTGTTAAAGTTTTTTCACAACAATATAAGATGTTTTTTCGAGCCAAAGTGTTAAAGCCTCTTATAAATAATAAGTTTGAAGTAATATACATTGATTATGGTAATTTAGAAGTAGTTTCTTCTGATAACATTTATATACTTCCTGATGATCTTGTTACAAAAGTAATTATATAAATCATTTTCAATTAATACTTTAACTAGGGTCAGGTTAATTAATTTGCAATTTTTATTTTTAGCCAGGACTTGCTATTCGAGTTGGAATAAATGCCCCTGCTAAAATTAAAAAAACACCTGCTATTGAAAAGATGTTTGAACAATTTGCAAATGATTGTGAAATATTTAAAATAGTGAGTTGTGTAATGTGTTGAATTGTCTGAATTATTTACTAAATTTTATGTAACATTTACGTGATTTTTTACAGGAATTCAATGAAACAGCCAAAAATTGTTTGGATAATGTCAAGTTAATAAATGAAAAATCAGAACAAAGTATTAGTGTTTATATTAAAAAACTATTGCCAGGTTTTTATTTAACTTTAATAACATATTTATATCTATCTGTTCTATAAATAAAATATTTGATTTGATTTTTATTTCATTTAAATGAATATTTGTTATCTATATATGGTAAATTTTGTACAATAAGTAATTTTTTTAAGTCACCTTTTTTCTTTTTTTATAGTTTTTATTTTATAAATAATATATCTCGACAATCATAATAATTTAAAAGTACTAATATAAAACTATACAGTTAAGATGGGGAAAAATAAAATTAAAGTATAGTTAATACAGTTTTTTTTTTTTTTTAATTCCTACCCGTTTTTGGGTGTTGGATACCCAAAGGTCAACTGATTTAGTAGTGTACGGTGGCAGGCAAGGCTTAACACTAGGGTTTTATCAACATCTAGTGTGTCCACCGCGCCACATCACGCTCTAGTTAATACAGTAGCCATTGAAATATGTATATTTATATTAATGTTTAAGTTCATTTAGATTTATTGAATTAGTATTCCTCAGTAGACTCTAAAAAGATTTTATGGATTTTTTTTCTAAAATGACAATCTAGGATTTTCTGATTGCATTCAATCGATTTTCATAAAAAAATTAACTGTATCAAAAAATGTCTTAAAAATTTTCATACATAAATAAAGGCACTCAATTATTAATGAAAATTACTTATTAACACAAGTCAATTTTATCAATTTTTTTTGCAATAAGCTATAAAATTTTGTATTAATCTGTTATCAGAAGCTTGGTATTTTTTAATAGAAAATATATTTTATTATACTTAATCAATTATTGGATGATGACTATAAATTTATATATACTAAATTTAACTTGATATTGGTATAAATAATCAAAGTAAAAAAAACTTTAAAATTCTGCATTGTATTTTAAATAACAAAATGATATCATTTATATAACTTCTTAACATTACATACTTACAAGTTTTTTAATAAATATTGAAAATATGTTAAAATAAATGAAAAAAAATTTAAATAATATTTTTGAGGAATCAGGAAAAATATAGATTCTATTTCTTAGATGAATTCTTAGTATGCCATTGATAAAGGGATTGAAAAAGCAACAGACTAAAAAATATTTCTTATTACAGGAATTTTTAGAAAATGTACTTATAAACTCATGTATCATACTAAAATATTAACTTTTAGTGTGATAAGACCAAAAAATAAGAGGATAATTTAAATTCTCTTAAAAATAGAGTCCCTTATTTTATATGTAAAATTTTGCAAGAATTTTTTTGGTACAACTAATTTTTTTTTTTTAATATAGCTATTAAATTTGTAAAAGCCTTAATTGTAAACTAAAAAAATTCCATAGAATTTATGGATGATTGTTGGTGATCATTAGTCTTTAGAGCATGACATAGGTACCAGATACACTGTATAATTAGCATATTTTAATTTTTCATGTTTAGTATCATATTTAACCATATAAATTAAATTTTTTTTTAGATGATAAAGATGTGAAAAGAACGAGTAGTATAGCACTAAACACTGAAAATAAGAATTTAATTAGTGATTTAAAAATTACTAATAGTGAAGTTAAAGAAAATTTGAATATTCTAAAAAATGGCGATTCGGTATTTATTAAACATTTTGAAGACTCTGCTAATGTATTTGTTATTAAAAATTGCAAATGTTTTAATCAATTAATGATTGATTTAATTGAAGATAAAAGTTAGTTTTATTTTATTTCTGTTTTATTAAATATCTATTTTAAACAGTTTTCTTTTTTAATTTAATATTTGACTATAATTGAGGAAAAAATATGTATTATACTTGTATGTACAAAACATGTATAATATGTATTAAAAATGGTTATTAGTAGAATATTATGTGCAATTTTGACAATAGTGTCGAGATTTTTTTTAAATAGCTGTTATTACCTTTTTTGATTTCAATAGATATAAAGAAATAAATCTCCTAAAATATTTAACTATTTTTTATGTATTAATTTTTGTATAAATATATTTGTTTAGCCTTGGTATCACAGTCAAATTTGCAAAGAGGTGACTTAGTCAAGGTTGTGACGTCTGATACTCAATATCGAGCAAAAGTGTTGGATTTGAAGAATGATATGATAGTGGTTATGAATATTGATTTTGGAAACATTGATAATGTGTCTGCTGACTGTATTTATGAACTTTCTAGTAAGCTAAAAGAGGTATGCCATCTCATTAAACTTACGTCTGTTAAACTAATTTATGAATTACTAGATAAATATAAATAAATATTCATGTATTAATATTTATTTTAGGTTCCACAACAGATTATTAAAATAGGATTAAAAGGACCAATTATAAAACCTACTGCACCAGTGTTAAAGTTTATTGAAGATATAGAAAAAATTAAATATAATGTGGTAAGTTTTAATATTTTAATTATGTTTTTAAATTTATAATTTATATACATAGTATTATTTTTGTGTATGTAAATAAATACTATAGAATGTATAGTTTTTTTTGTTGACAAAATTTTATTTTGGTATTGAAAAATTGTATATTTACAGGAGCTAGATGAAAAAAACAGTAATGATTTTCAAGAAATAACTTTAAAAAGGGATAACCTAAAAATAAGTATTATTGATGAACTTATGAAAGTAGAAGAACAAAATTTAACAAATTATGGTAATTTAATGTATTAAGTACAGGGGTGCAAAATTGCACTGGGTAAATTGTTATGTTCATTCTAAAACTCTATTTTTTTATTATTTGAACATTTTGTTGTATATTAATAATTATAATTTGTTATTAAAACTGATAAAATTGTGCTTTTAATATGTCATATTGTTTTAAGACTTGAAGAAATCATCCAAAATTGAAAGAAGTATGCTTAAAAGTGGAGATTATTGTATTATTACATATTTTGAAGACTTTGATTGCATTTATATTGGGAAAGCAAAAAAGGATAACAATGATATTGTTTTATACAATTATAATCTTATTTTAGAAGTTATGCAGAGTAAAGGTGAGAGAGTTTTAAGTCAATAATTTGTTCTATATATTTTATATATTTAATAATAATTTATTCTCTAATGATAAAGAGTTAAATTGTCAAGGTGAATTTATTATAAAAGCTCACATTTGATCAATTTATGCAACAGTTAAATTATTTTAAAAGATGAATTTTCATAATGAATGAACATTTTTTTTAAAATTTAATATTTTTATATTTCCTAACTAATTAAAATATTGTCAAGTCACATTTTGATATTATATTATATTTTATTATATTATATTTGATATTATATAGATAGTATATGTATATTTTTTTAGGCAATCAGCTTAATGTTGTTGAACCTAAAGTTGGAGAATTCTATAAAATTTTTTCTAAAAAATTTGACATGACATATTATCGTGGTAAAGTATTAAAAAAAGAAGACACTAACAGATTTAAAGTTTATTATATTGATTTTGGAAATACTGAAGTAGTAGAATTAAAATGTGTGTTTGAATTGGAAGATAAATATAAAGAAATGGTTCGTTTTTTATAATTTTATTTTTGTTGTTTGTATTAAATATTATATAAAAGGCTTTTATTTTTTTACTTAAGTTATACTTAAATAATTTATATAAAGTTTTAATTGTTATAGTTAAAAACAAAATTTGTCGCGATACCTTATCTACTATGTGCAAATGACTGGCCGTTTTAATTTAAAAAATATGCTTTTTTACAATAAAAATGATATTATATTGCTACAACTTATTGAAAAATGTAAAATTATTACACCAATACACTAAAAATTTTTTTCTAAGTACTTTATAGATATTTCATTTGTCCGATATACTTATTTTTATTGGGTACAGCTCTTACTGATGTATATTTATAATTCATAGTATACAACTCAACAAATTTTTTTTTAATTTTGAAAAAATTATAAAATTTAAGGGATTTAATAAATTATCTTAATGTTTTGACAAGTCCACATATATATCTTATGGTATACTGTTAGAACATAGTGGAACACAATATATAAATTGTTTTTCTATTTATGATTATTGGCTGACAACTAATTTTACATAATAATTAGAATTTAATGTTTCATTAATATAGATAGAATTACCAGCACCTTATGCATTTAAAATTCCTAAGATGGTTCAAAAAACAGATGAAATTACAAATATATTTAATAATTTGATTATTCAATGTTGTCCTCTTATAATTGTGAGTAATTATTATTATTATTTTTTTAAAGTATTATTATAATTTTTGTTAAATTTTAATTTTATTTTACCCTTTTTTATTTATTAAATATTTTTACTTAGGAGTTAGAAGATGTTACTAACGATGGTACATTACAGTATGTAAAGCTTAAATATGTAGAAAATAGTAGATGTGTAAATGATGAAATTATTAAAAAATTTAAAATAGAAAGACCTTTAAAAAATGGTGATGTTTGTATATTAACATTTTTTCAAAATTTTAAAAATGTTTTTGTAAATAAAGCTATTAAAAATAAAGATTCTGAACAGTGGAATTTGGAAAATGAAGATATGATAGTGACAATAATGAGTAGTGCCGTTAGTACTGGTTGGTATCAACAATGCTTTTTTGTATGCTGTATTTTACTAGAGTTTTGGTTACTTAATAATTATTATAAATTAATAATAAAATATGCATAAGTGTTCTCTGAAAAACTTCTTAATTGTAACAAATAGTTGTAAAAAGTATATTAAGATAATATAAGGTTAAATTATTTTTGGAAAAAAAACTAATTAAATTTTGTAATAATTTCAATTAAATTTCTTATTCAAAATTAAGTACTTGAAAAAAAAAAAATGAAAACAGCCTTATAATTGTGTTATCAACCATTTAAGGAACTTAGGAGTTAGGATTTAAGTATGACTGCCGGGTAGCTCATTGGAAAAGCTCTTACCTGGATAGCAAGTGATTTAGGTTTAATTTCTAGTCCGCTTACATTTTTTCCTCGATTTCCGAGTATGTAATAATTTTATTAAAAAATACCAGAAAAAAATTGTTTATTTATAAAAATAAAAAAATGAATCATATTTTTTTAAATTTTAAAACCAACTATTTTCCCTCCAAAATCTATTAAAAAAAAAACATTACCAACGGAGAAAATCATAAGAAAAATCTCGTTGGTACCCTAGGGACCAAACCCAGGGTCCCTTGTGCCGAAATATACGTTTCTAATCACTAAGCCAGGCCGACCCCTTCCTCCAAAATCTATCCATTTTCTTTAAAAAATGATATATCTAACAACATTGAATGATAAAAAATAAAAAAAAAATCTAGCACAGGGGGGTTGCGGCACAGTGGTGACGTGGCATAGTTGGATCAAGTATAATGATATCTGACAGTGATTAAAATCACTATAAAAAAAAAACGCTTCGATGCAAATCTTTAGATAGTGTTTAATTTTAAAAAATTGGTGTATTATTCCAAAAGCTTCATGATCTGCTAGTTCCTTATTAATATCCTGATTAAATTAAAGTATGTCGAATGAAAAAGGGATTATTAAAAAATATTATTTCTCATAAAAAAATTGTATTGATCCATATATTTTTCAAAAAGTTATAGAATAATAAAGTTAAAAATGTAAAAAATAATATAGAGAATTTTCACAAGAAAATAGCATTCGGTAGCCATTTTTGCCGTGAAGGCAAGTCCAGAGGTCAAATTTTTTTTTTTCAAATTAAAATATATTGCATTACCTTTAATTTAAGATATATATAAAAGTGTCAGACCTTCCGGAACATTTTCAAAAGTTAAGTTGAAAAAGTTAATTTTTTGTAAAAAAGTTGTCATTTTAAATCCCCCCCTGTGGGCAGGTAAAGGGTCATATTTACAAAAAAAATATACCAAATGATAGGTAAAGACATCAAGCATCTATAAAAAAAAATTATATTGATATGTTCATTTTTGAAAAAGTTACGGCAGTTTTTAGTAAAAAAAATTGAAAAAATTTCGAAAATTAGCGATTTTTAAATTTGTAATTTTTTTGGAGGTTTCCCCCATTTACGGGGAACGAGGGAAATTTTTTCAATTTTTGAGGGTAATGTCTTCGACTAGATACGATTTGTGATCTTTTGACGTATCGTTGAAAGAAATCCGTTCGGTGAGAGCTGAGAAAAAGTGGTAACAGATACAAAAAAAAAAAAATAAAAAAAAACACATCATAGTAAAACCAATACCTTCTCAGTTTCGCATCGAAGCTAAAAAGATAAATTTTTTATAAGATATAAAAATAGTATTATATAACTTTAACATTATAATACATTAGTAATTTTATAATACATACATTACATAATATATTTTTTAATTTTAATTATTTTTAGATGACCTGGAGAAAAATCTTAAAATTGGAGATATTGTTAAAGTATTTTCACTAAGTGATAAAGCTTATTACCGAGGAAAAATTTTAAGTCAAAATAATGATTATTTCAATGTTTTTTATATTGATTTCGGAAATACTGAAAATGTTTTTTCAAATCAAATTTTTCAACTTTCTGATGATTTTAAAAATAAGGTTTGTAGGATATTTTTTGTTACTAATGAAGAAGTTTTAGTTACAATAATGTGAAGTAAATATTATTTTAATTTTGTGTAGTCTGGATCAGTTATTAGAATTGGTTTGAATGTTAATATTAACATAGTAAATGATACCATAAAAAACATATTTTCTGAATATATTGATGGTGGGATACCATTGTTAATTGTAAGTTTAAGACTATAAAGATTTTTTTAAAATAATTTTTGTGATAAATACTTATTAATATTTTAAAGGAATATGATGAACTTTCTGAAGATGGGTTTGAAAATTGTGTTTTAAAAATTCTTTCTAGTGGTATCAATTTAAATGATGTTGCCTTAAATGCTGCTCTTGAATCTTCCAATTATGGTAAGTTTAGTGTTAGATGTACTTATAATCAACTATAGGAAATAAAATAAGATAATTTAAGACATAAGCATGTTATCTATATTCATTGAATTTATGTATTAAATGAGGTTAGGTCTTTTATAAATATATTATACAAATATTAATTTATCTTATATATTATAATAAAAACTGTTTGCAGAATATTTTACAAAACATTTTCAAACTCTTTTGATTTAAATTGTCTATAAGTCACATTAATATTTTTAGTAAAAAAAAATTCTATTACATTTTTACTTAAATTAATTTGTCTGTTAGCATATCAGTTAAGATTGAAAAGGTTCAAATATAAAATAAATAATTTTTCAGTACTATTGTAAAAAATAAAATCATACAATAGTATAGAATTTTTTATTTAAGCTACAATTACTATATAATTTGTGTAACAACTTCATTTTTGGCTAAAAAGCTCCAAGTTAATTTTTAAATATATTTATTAAAAAAATGTTTTCAACAAAATTGTGTTACTACCTTTTTATTATAAGGTGATAAGCAGTCGATTAATGCAATATACAAAGCGATTCTAATATATGGGGTTTTAATAAAAATATAGTGAACGTCATGGATTAATGTTGAATACATTATTATTACAAAAAAATTTTTAAAAAATGTTTAAAAGTATAATTTTGGGAGTTAATAAAAACCATTAATCCTCTCTTAACCTCCACCATTAATGATATTAAACAAAAAAAGGGCTCTTTAAAGTTTTTCCGTAATAATGAGATATTTGATGTAAATAATTCACTTTCATTCATGATGTTCACCACATTTTTATTAAAATCCCAAATTTGAATACTGTAAAAAACCTTAATCTGATTATAAATTAATATAACTCAATAACAGCTTGATCCAAGTTAATTATCAGAAAAATTAATTTGTCTAGTTTATTCTTGTTACCAATAAATGTATCTGGAGAACAATTATAATAATTTAGATTTGTAGGTATTTTCAATGTATCAGTAAATACCAGTATTAGCAACAATTAAAATTAAAAAGAATCAAATTTTCAATATGTTAATACATATTGATTTCAATATTTATTAATAATAAATCTGGTTACTGATGTACAATTTATTTTTTATGTTTCTTAGTTAAAAGTAACAAGAAATGCTCTGTAGCAAGAATTTTCTCTTCGGTTAAATATTTTCTTTACTTATCATTTTATAATAGCAAACTTCTTTAATATATGTTAGTGTACAATACAATAAAACACTAGTTTTCTTTTGACACTATGTATTATAATAACACTTATTGCTTTGTTTTAATTTTACTTTTATTTAATGATATGAAATAAGATTAAATTATCAACGTAAATTTTGACTTATATATTTACAGTTAAAATGTTTAAGTGTGATGAGTAATTGAACCTTATTAGTTAACTATATGCCAACTCTTATAATTAATTTTGGGTTGTTAAATGTAATAACCATTGTTATCGTGGTATAAAAATATTGATATATTTGATGTATCAAAAATAAAACTGTGATTTTTAGATATTGATTACAGGTATGTAGATTTTAAATACCACAAGTTCTATAATAGTTAATGTAGAAATCCAGAATTGTTTAAAACAAAAAAAACCTGTTTAATACATAAGTAAATAGTTTAAACTGTTTAAATGACTCATTAGACCATTGTAAAATTTGAAATTTTTTGCTGTTTTAAACACTGCATGTTTAAAAATGTAACAACACTAAAAAGTATATTGTGACAAAGTGGTGATTCTGCAACATAAAGCCTTTTTGCATATTTTCTTGTATTTTATGTGAGACTTCTATAAGTGTCCTGTTTGATTTTTGAAAAACTCACAAAACAAAATGCTTTGAGCCATTGGAATAACTGTACAATTTGTTCTAAGAAAATCAAGCTGAAAACATATTGTTGTCTTGCATTGACTACAATTAAGGACAAAAATGATCAGATAAAGGAAATAAGTTGTATAAACTTATTTTTCTTATAACACACTGATAACCAGTGACCTGGATCAAGCTTTTATTGAATTATTTTAACTTGCAATAGGATGTAGACTTTTTAATTAGTCTGTATTTTATACAGATGATTGATTTATTATTAATCACTAATTTCTTGCAAAGCATTAATAATGTTGAGAATTGTGGTTACACCATTCTTTTTACTTATACATATACTATTTAGTGAAAACAATAACTTATATAATTTATTTTTAGAACAAAACCAAATGGAATCTCTAAATGTCAATAATAAAACTGAATTAGAAAAGGCTATTATCAAATTTCATGATGAACAACCAACTTTTGTTAGAAAACAATTAAGCAATAATGAAAATGTTATTATAAGATATTTTCATGATACTAAAAATATCTTTGTTAGTAAAGATTCTGAAAAAGAAATGTATCATCAGCTTGTTTTTGATGTTATAAATAATAAAGGTGTTTGTATTAATTATTTTTAATTTCTTAGTAAGCAATAATTAAGAATACCTAATTACTTGAACTGTAAATTCAATGCACTAACTAACTATAAAATAAACATTTATAAAAAAAAAAAAAAAACTCAAATTTCATTAATTATAACCCTATAATGTGTTAATGTATTAATTTCTCTGTCTTACTAATCACAAATTTAAGTTTGATATTGATAACAAAAATTGAAATATTATAAGTGTATTTTAAACTATAATTTTAATGATGAGTTATTTTAAAATCAAGTATGTGTTTTTATAATCTTAATACTTTTAGTTTATTTCATTTATATTACAATTCTTGCAAGAAACAATGTCTTACAAGAAATTGATAAGATTACAATATTTTAACTTTTCTTAATTTTTTCTCCTTTAGATTTAACCCTTTTCTTTTTATATTATAAAGCAATTTGTATGGATGTTAAGAATGTTTTGTTTTAGACTTAATCAAGGAAAATAATATACAAGTTGGTTCTATCATTAAAACTTATTTTGATGAACAAATTTTCCGGGCTAAAATACTTGAAATAATGAGTAATGGTGTAAAAGTTAAATTTATTGATTTTGGAAATGAGGAAATAGTATCTGAATCAAAGATATTCCAACTTCCTGAAAAGCAAAAAGTTTGATTTATTTTCAATACTTTTAAATGATCTGTTAACCTTAATTTTAAAATTAAATTTGTTTGTCAAAAAATACAAATTTAGTCTGCTGAATTCATTTATAAGATTGGAATCAAAGGATATCCATTAGTATCTAAAAATGATAAGATTGAAAATTTCATTGACGAATTAAGTTCAGAAGATATATATATTGTGAGTAAAATATTAAGTTATTAGTGCTCACAAGTAAATATTATGGTTTATCATTAAATTCATGTTTAATTACTTGGAAAATTACTTTAGAAATTTATAAAAATTGTGTTTAGGTTTTTAACTATTTTACAAATATTAAATATTTTATTAACTTATCACCTTATTACATTTGGTTTACTGTTAAAATATGTTTTATATACAATTATAATTATTTTTACCAGTGGTATATTATTTTTTTTTAATATCAATAGACCAAATTAATTTTAATTTTATTTATTTATTCTATGCTAGTATTTAAAAAATAAAATTCTGCCCCTTTAAAATAGAGTCTTCATACTTGGCCTACCTATAAGTAAGCCACTGATTCCTACTCAAGTAATTTAAATATTATAATTTTTTTTCTTATAAAATAAAATTTTATAATTTTGCCTGGAATTGTTTGAAAATTGATTATAAAGTTTATAACTATAAATTATAAAAAAAGTTATGTAAAAAATAATGTTAGGGCTTATGTATATAAAACCTCCACATAAATCTTTATCTAAGTTTCTGAGCTAGGTAGATGATAGATAAATAAGTGTTTTTTAGGTTCAACCCTCACCAAAATATTAATAAGTAAATTAATAACAAATAAAAGAGAGGAAGTAGATGAAATTTAATTTTTCAAACACAAATAAACTTTGCCTATACTTCTTGATCTAAGTATTGAATTTGTTTATAAATTGACTGAAAAATCCTGAAAAAGTCAGGAAGTTCAAAAATTTTTAATTTGTGGCAACCATTATTCATATTTTATGAAAATGCTCATTTTCAACAAAAAATGTAGATTTATAAAAGTTATAAATCATGATGTTTTTATATATATTATTGGTATGTAGGTGTATGATGAAAATAATCCTGATGGTCTACAAGAAGCAAGTTTAAGATATAAAAAAAACCATATTGATATTTTTGAAATATTATTTAAAAATATGGGAGTCTCTATAAATAAACAAGGTAATTTAAAATCATGAAATATTTTAATCAAATGTTTATTTTATTTGCCAAAACTTACCTTATAAATTGCAGAATCATTTTCTAAACTTGAGTATGCGAAGAAAAATGAAAATGAAATAGTTTCAAGAGTTATTACCGAATTTAATGATACATTGACTGACAATAAATTAAAAAATGGTGATATTGTTTACTGTAGCCATTTTGAAAACTTTCATGATATATTTCTATGTAAAGGATCTCTTGAAACAAAAGTACCAAATAATTATGATGTAGTGGTCAACTCTGCAGATTCACATGGTATTGAAAAAAATATATTTAAAAATAAATAAATTAAAATTAAATAACATGAATTATGTATTGCTAACAAGTTATATTAAATATAACTTGTAAATAATTAAAATTTAACAACAATAGATATCCACTTTCCAATTTGTCATTGTACTCAGTCAGATGTTTCACTAAATAGATGATAAACATACATTTTGAATTTAATTTACAATTTGGTTTACTATGATACTACTCTTAGTTTTTTTCATTTAGTTATGATTTATTCATAAAAGTGTAGCAAGTAATTTTTTTTTCAATTAACCATGATCATAGCAATATCATATCATATCAAGTTACATTATAAAACTTTTTAAAGGTAGTTTGGAAGGGTAACTTTTAAAAGTTATGTAAGTAGAAATTGGGGATAGTTACATTCAATTCAGCAAAGACATTGTACATATTTAATTTTTATAATATATAGAATATGTGTGATATAGTGAAATTTACAAATTTTCATTTTAATATTCTGATATTTTTTAATTAAAATTGTCACTTTAAATACTTTTCCTATTATTCGGTTTCTCAGTATTTCTACTTTTTAATTTTAAAAGTTAACAGTTTTATTTACCATAGTTAATCGTAATGGCTATTCTTGTCATTAAGCTATTAATATTGATAAGACTGATAGTTTCTTATCATGCAACAGCTATACAAAAATTTTTCATCTGAATAATGCATCTACAAACTTAACTACCATTGAGTTAAAGTGTATTAATCTTAAAAGTAGTAAACTAAAATTCTTATGTGAAATTCGATCTTTGAATTTACTTATAAATCAATTGATGGTTGTTATTTGTAGACTAAAATCAGATGTAGTTAACTTGAATTCACTGGATCAAACCAAAAAATTAGATGTTAATAGTTTTGTAGTTGAAGTAACCTAAAGGTAAGAACGAGCCAAAAATGTGATAGGTTACAAAATAGAGAGTTTAAGCTCCATTACTGTTGTAATGTTTAGACATGATCAAAGTGCAATATTTGAAATTTTAAAAAATGTATTGTGTTTATAATTTGTTAAGATAAAAGCTATAAGATTAGGAAAACCTATATTTCGGGTAAAACTCGCTTTATTAAGATATTTTTATATTCTGACATTGAAGCAAAAACAATATTGATGAGAAGCCAATCTTACGGTATTAGAGTTGGTATATATTTAAAAAATCTCCTAACAAAAATGCATCAACAACAACCTCTCTGACATTAGAGTGGAATTAAAATAGGATTGAAAATTTCGAAAATGATCTAATAATCAAATATGAACTGGAATAACTTAAAATTATTAAAAAATCAAAAAACGAGCAGCTCTTAATAGATTAATCACGAACATTTATATCTATTATCAAATTGTAAGAGATTTAAGAACAAAAATAAAGAATCTAACTATTCAATTATGTTTTTATAATATTGTAATTCCCACTGAAACCGGTTGCATAAAAATATTTTAAGCTCTGAACGTCACCTTAAAAATTATAATATTTATAGAAATGATTTATCTAGAGGTGAAGAAATTTTATTTGTAACTCAGTTGTTAATAACCACCAGAAAAATAAATATAATTAAACAAAACCTTGAAATGGTAGTAATAAAAATCATATAAATAATATCATTATAAGATTATCATTGTTAGCAAAGAAAATGTTCTTAAAGATTTTGTTAACAAATTAAAACTTCTGTGTGATTCTTTCAGTGAACACTAATTCATTATATGTGTTGAAAATATTGAGTTATTTAGGATATTTTAAATCAATTTTACTGATAATAATTAAGGTAGTTGAATAAACCGAACCTTATTTTTCACTTAATAGTTATTATCCAGCTTTAATACCATTTTTCAATTATCACACCATACATATACTCCTTTCACTGTATATGACATAAAAAAAGCTGATTATTACAATATTACTTATTATCCCTAAATTATCTACTTATGGTATAATAGCTTATTATTTCAATAAAAAATAAAAAAAAGCCAACACAGTAACTATAAAAAATATGCATAAATTTGGTACTGCAATTTCAATGAAATCCGAAAGCATTGCAAAATCTTATTAGAATGTTTCTATAAAATATTATTAAATAAACAATGCTATTTATTTTTATACTAAACACTTGGAATTATATTAATATAAAAAGGAAAAATGAGTCATTACAGCCAATTAATAACATAACAGTAATAATGTATTAATAATTTTTTTTTATTTATACAGGCCAATTCTTTTTTGCACTTTTAGTTTCATAAAAATTTCAATTTATTAATTATTAAATATTTTTTTAAATTCATCTCTTATACATTATAAAGGTGTCAACTTTATTTTTTAGATGGTAACCTACATATTTAACTAGATTATAAAATAAAATATGATCTAATTAAGGAAATGATTTGTTGATCACAACTTTTGACCCATTTGTAAGTTATAACTATTTTAAATATTGATTGGAGGTAAAGTGTGAGTTATGTTATTTTTAACTTTACGCATTATTCTGTAGGGCTCTTCCTCCACTTTGCATTTAAAAATTTCTGAAGTACTAGTTCAAAAGTTTTTACTGAATAGTCATTTTTTAAATTAGATTAAAATCTATTTAAAAAATATAGTAATTATTATTTATTGTTTGAAATAGTTAAATATGTATGTTACCTTAATATATACAGAGTGGCCCAAGATTCACTGACAACTTAAATAACTTTAGTTCCAGTTTATTTTTATTGCAATTTTTTTTTTTTTTTTAATAGTTAATATACTTGGGGCTATAATAATAATTTAATTAATGCCATTTCTATAATTAAATTAAAAAAATTTATGAAGTGTTTAAAAAAATTAAAATTAGCCATTTTTTTGAATAGATTTAAAAAAATTATTTTGTGAAAAAATATCTCATTTATATTGGGCAGTTAATTTTCTGTAATATATTAAATTTTGTAAAAATTTAAATTTTTCTGTATTTATTCTACGGTTTCAAACACTGGCTATATTATATAAAAAAGGACAGAAGTAAACACCATCTTTTCACACTAAATATGATATCAGTATGGTTTTTTTTCATGAAAGTTATTAACATTCTAATGAACGGCTTTAGTTAAAAAAAAAACACAAACAATACCTATTATTTAAAAAGTAGTTTTAACTTTTTAGAATTAAAATTACTTATCTTACTTTTCTTCTATCCTTGTCTCTACACGTATTTCATTGTTTAATACCATTTAAAAGAAAAAAAGTAGATTGAGAGTGTGAATAACTTTTGATTCGGGGTGCGATTCGAGTGTCATAAAATAACAATATAAATATTCTTATGGATTTAAAAATCTTACCTGATAATTTTTTCTCAGTTGTTCTAATAACTTCAGTGATAATATTAATAAAATGATAAACAAAGTAACACAAATTCATGTTTTAGTTCACAAATTAAGCACGTAAGAACTTCGACAATGATGATCGCAATATCCGCGTAATGATATCTAGAGCACAAAATGAACAGGAGAGAATAAAAGTTTGCTCTGCCTAATTATAATATTTTTTACTCCCAAAAATCATTGTCTAATTCTTACAGTATAATTGTTATTTGATAAATAAGCATAAAATACAGAAATTATTACAGATGAATGGAGTATATTAATAATTTTATATATAATATTAACATAGTTTTTTACACATAAGATTAGGATTAATACAATGCATTTAATTATTAAAATTGATATGTATAATGAATATAAAAATATAGGTAATAACAAGTAATGTGGATAATAACAATTTCTAATTATTTTAATAAAAATGAGATATATGAGTAAATATTTTATCTCAATAAATATAAATTTGTAGTATAGTATTAATAGTGATATAGTCTATTATAGCAATATAATATTCTTTAATACAGTTATTGCTAAATATATATATATAACGTAAAAAGCTTTTTTAGTGTTGTGTCTTTATATCATGTTGTCTAAAATACAATTTCATATGAAAAAAATTACAAATTTATCTTAATAGTTAAGAATATAGGTTAAACAAAATTGTTATATACATTTTTTAGGGTGGTAATATTTTAGTAACATTTATTAATATATATAAAAATTTTTTTGTATAAATGCACAGATAACAATATATAATTTTAGGTGTACATTTTTTAATTTGCTTATCAACAATATAATTGAGATACTATAGAATAAAAATTAATATTACAATATTTTGAAATTATAATCTTAATTTTCTATATTTTGTAATTCGTAATTCTCGCATATGAATATTGAAATCATTTTTTTTTTTAATATCTGTTATAAAATATTAAATAGTAGAGTTATAATTATTTTAATATTATTAATATATAATGAAATAACATAATTGTTTTTTTTTATTATATCAAGACATTATATTTTTATAACAAAATGATTAGTAGTTTCAACAACAATTAATACAAAAAAATGTATTATAGTTTATAAATCTGAAGTTGTTTTTTTTAACCGTCATGTTCTCTTCATACATAGTAATAGTCAACATAAATAAAAAAATTCAGACTTCTTCTGAGACTCGTCCTTCTAGACCTTTGCCATTTGTAATTTAGATGTATTTCCATTTGATTTTGTAATTGATAGATGTATAAGTGCAATGATTTTTGTTTTCAGTCTTCACATTTTTAGTTGGGTTATTTGTAACATCCTTTTAAAGTCATGAATGTTATGATAAAGAAATTTATATTATATTATATACATATAACATATATTATAAACAATGTTTTTCCTATCTTGACTGATACATCAACAATTGTCTAAAAATATTAACCTCCAGAGTCAAAAATAAAAGTTACGTGCTTAATGTAATTAATTTTCATGGCGAATTTAACAAAAGGTTCTGTGTAATTTTTAAAAAGCCAATAATATTTATTTAAAGAAATATATTTTTTACATGTAAAACGTTTCTTTTAAAGTTAGGTAAAATGTTAAGAATATTTTTTTATAAAAGAAGTTAAGTTATTATTACAAAGTATAGATTTATCTAATAAAAATTAAATTGTTTTAATAAATGTGTTTTGAAAAAGTATATATTTTAAATCTTGTGCTATTTTCGTAGTGTTACAAATGTTAAAATTATTATTAAAAATTATTTTAAATCGATCTGTTAATTTCACATATATCTGTAAAAGTTTATAAATTAATACGATTAAGTTATAATACTGGAATTTTCTATTGCCTTTAATAGATCTATTTTTCTTTTAATTAAAGACTGATTTAGTTTAATTCTCTCATTTATATTTTCATTTGGAATAACTACACAATTAGAATATAAATTATTGGTTTTAATTAATGTTGGCGTTGTAAAATTATATGATTTGTTTGTTTTAATATTTTCATCTATTTGTTTGTTTAACTCTACTTTTTGTGATAAACTATCTAATTTATCTGAATTTTAAAAGATAAAATTCTTTATTAAACTTTCGTCATTATCTGCTTTAATTTTAAAGATATCTTTTAATTGTGAATTATTGTAATGTATTAATATTTTAAGAAATTTTTTGTGTTCAGAGTTTGTCAAATGAGGTGATATGCCCTTTAATTCTATATCGAAATTTTTGTCTGTAATTTTGACTATTATTACATTTAGAATTAAACAATCGAATTTTTGTATTTTTATTATTATTAATAGCTGACATATAATTTTCGATATTTTTATTTAATTGATCATTATTTAATGTATTAATTATTAAGAAATAATGGCATTGAAGATTTATTATTATGTAAAGTTGAAATTTTTTTATTAGAATCAATTACGCTATTATTTTTTAATAAAAATTCTTGGCCTAAAAGTATAGAACAAGTCAAGTTTTGATAACAAATGCCTTAATGTGATAATATACAGAATTTATTTGTAAAATAATTGTTGTTTCACCTAAAACTGTGGGTGATGTGTTATCTGGGTTTTCTACTTAAAAATTTTTTCTATTGACCCTTTGATTTTTCGATATTAAAGTGTAATTTACGCAACAAATCTTTGACCCGTACAATGTAGCATAGAATTTTAATGCTTCAGAGATATTTTTATTTTTTAAGGCATAATTATTATATTTGTTTGCTAAGTACAAAGATGAACTGTTTTTTTTTTTTCAGAATTTTTGTTTAACTTTAAATTAATGGGTTTTAGAATTTCTTTGCACATAAGAACTGAATGATCATTCATATTACAAATTTTTTGATTTTTAAACGATGCACAATGATTTTTTAATTGATTATTGTGTGAAACTAAATTAATATTGTCATTCAAAAATTGCTCCTGACTTTGTTCCAATTTCATTAGTTGATTATTGAAATTTATAAAAATAATTTTGGGAAATATTATTAATTTTTTTATTTACTATGGACCTTTTTATTTCAAGTGGACTACTAATTGTTTTTTCAGCAATCATAAATTCTATCATTTCATATTTTCGAATATTCCTTTTTAACTCATATAAATTACGATTTCGAAGCATACTAATAGATCTAATAATACATGGTTTTATCACATTTCGTAATATTTCTTGTTCTAACATATTACTATCAATTCTTTTACATAAATCTATAACATCATTAACAAAAACTACTGTTCGCTTATCATCTGTTTTTTATTTTCTGATAGTGAATGTAAAATAAAACTGTTTCAAATTCGTTCATAATTTTTTTTCTAATTCCATCCATGACAAATTTTCTGACTCAATATTATCATTAAAAGTAAGAGCTGCATCTTGTAAAAAAGCTACTAAATAAAGCGATTTATCATTTTCTGACCAACCATTAATTTCTGCTGCCCTATTGAATGATTTTAAAAATTCATTTATTCTCTCATTTCTGCCGCCCGAAAAGATTGGTGGATTATAGAATAAATTTCCATAAATCTCCACGTTATATATTTATTTACAATTAAAAAAATTTTCTTGTATAAAACTCTTTTTCTAAATACTCACCAAGTACATTTTATTAAACTTTTTTTTATGTTAATTTAGATTTTAAATACTTCTAAAAAAGTTATATAACTCAGCTCTCCCGTGTCTTTTATATACTCTACAGCTTTTATTTGTTCTTCATTGAACCTTCTAAAACAATTTCACTTACTTTCTCAGTCATAAAATTACTTTCCATATTTTTACGGGAATTAAAATTTTTTGTTCAATTAATATTCTATTTTTAATTTTGTTATTATTTATCTCGTGTTATTATTCATTAACAATACGAATTACAAATGTGGAAAATTTAATCTCGAGAATTCTGTTCACTTTTATATTCTTAAAAAATATTTTTTTTCACTTCTCAAATTATTCGTTAGTAATACGAATTACAATTTTGGAAAATTTAAACTGAAAATTGACTGTTCAAATCGGACTCGCTCTCTTGTTTTTATATTTTGTGTCAAAAGTTTATTTTTGTTTAGTTATATAATGTTAAGGTATAACCCTTAGTTGAAATTAACTAAGTTTATAGTTGGGCACCACTTATCGTAATTCAAAAATTAATAAAATTAAAATTAAAAGAAAGAGAGAGTGTAAGTTACTTTTGATTTGGGTTGCGATTCGAGTGTCATAAAATAACAATATAAATATTCTTATGGATTTAAAAATCTTACCTGATAATTTTTTCTCAGTTGTTCTAATAACTTCAGTGATAATATTAATAAAATGATAAACAAAGTAACACAAATTCATGTTTTAGTTCACAAATTAAGCACGTAAGAACTTCGACAATGATGATCGCAATATCCGCGTAATGATATCTAGAGCACAAAATGAACAGGAGAGAATAAAAGTTTGCTCTGCCTAATTATAATATTTTTTACCCCCAAAAATCATTGTCTAATTCTTACAGTATAATTGTTATTTGATAAATAAGCATAAAATACAGAAATTATTACAGATGAATGGAGTATATTAATAATTTTATATATAATATTAACATAGTTTTTTACACATAAGATTAGGATTAATACAATGCATTTAATTATTATAATTAGAATAACAAAGATGACAAAAATAATTAATAGATTTCTTGTCGGAAGGAACGATTTTTAATCATAGATTTATGATCTAATTGTGTGTATTATAATATTACTAAACAGTGTGTTTGTTAAATGTATATTTAAATTATTTTTGTTTGAAAAGGATTATGTCCTACGAATATAATCTATAAATATCCCATGTTATGGTAGTGACGAGTATATTACGACAAAAGGCTTCTGGAAGGATAGTCAACTCTCTATTAGAAATACATATTATACAAACATATAAAATTTACAGATTATATAATAAATAATTATAATAAAATATGAAAAGAAATTTATGGAATAAAGTAGGAAAAATAGTAATGAGTTTTTTACAAATCGTGTTCTCTTTAGATCATAGTTAAATACCTTTTGAAAATTTGCATTAATATTTGAATATAACCTGTTCATAAATAATTTTTAGGTTTAAATGTTATTACTTATCCTAAAATACAAGATATTGTTAAAGTAAAATTTGAAGATGATTATCTACGCTCTAAAATAATTGAACAAGTTGATAATGAAAGTTATAAAGTATTCTTCATTGACGTGGGGAAAACTGTAACAGTTAATTCAAATAATATTTTTGAACTCGCAGATGAATTGAAAATGGTTAGTATTTAATTAATGTGATTTCTATTGACTAATTATGTAGGCCTTAATTAATAGATTTTTTGGTCCTATTTCAATATATTAGACTTTAATAATTAGAGGGTCGGTTGGGTTGAGTCGGTACGCGGCAGTGTTTAACGCGCACTGTATCAGGTTCGAAACTCGGTCAAGGGCGGTTTCATTTGCCGAACAAGAGATCACTTCGGTAATTGGAGTCGCCATTCCTCGCTCCGGTGACGGACAACCACCCGTCTTGGAGTATAAATGGTTAAGAAACCTTCTTCTTTGGGGGAGGCCGCGATGGCCCTTAAGGGTTGATAAAAGCGAAAAAAAAATTTCAATATATTAACATTATTTAAATACTGTTCATTGATATATTTTAGATTCCTGGATTAGCTATAAAGGCTGGACTAAAAAATACCAAAAATATAGAGTTAACCAATTGTGTAAGACAATATTTTGAAAATTTATGGTATCGAGGACCTATCCCTCTAGTTTTGGTAAGATTTATGTTTTAATTATAATTCAAAGTCTATTGTATTATAATTTTATTAAAAAATTATTTGATATTTGGAGTGTATAAATAATATATTGTGATTTTATTTGTATTAATTTGTATGATATTAATAATGTAATAATTTACAGGCTAAGTAAGTTCAATGCTCATTAACTTTGTTTTGTGTATAGGTATGTAATGACAACAAATCAAATTATTTATTTGAAGTCAGTTTGAAAAATAAGTGTTCTGGATTAGATATTATTGAAGAATTGATGAATATTCAAAAAATATCAGATGTTCCTAGTGTACCAAAAGAACAAAGTTCTAATAATCATGGTATAACTAATATAATGTTTAAATTAAATCACTTTTAGCTTCGATGCGAAGCTGAGAAGGTATTGGTTTTACTATGATGTTTTTTTTTTTTTTTTTTTTTGTGTCTGTTACCACTTTTTCTCAGCTCTCATCGAACGGATTTCTTTCAACGATACGTCAAAAGATCACAAATCGTATCTAGTCGAAGACATTACCCTTAAAAATTGAAAAAAATTCCTTCGTTCCCCGTAAATGGGGGAAACCTCCGAAAAAATTACAAATTTAATAATGGCTAATTTTCGAAATTTTTTCAATTTTTTTTACTAAAAACTGCCGTAACTTTTTCAAAAATGAACATATCAATATAATTTTTTTTATAGATGCTTGATGTCTTTACCTATCATTTGGTATATTTTTTTTATAAATTTGATCCTTTATCTGCCCACAGGGGGGAATTTAAAATGACAACTTTTTCAAAAAAAATTAACTTTTTCAAGTTAACTTTTGAAAGTGTTCTGGAAGATCTGACACTTTTATATATATCTTAAATTAAAGCTTATGTAATATACTTTAATTTGAAAAAAATTTGACCTCTGGACTTGTCTTCGTGGAGAAAATAGACATCAAAGTTAATAAAAAATTACGATTTTTGTACAATAATTTTTTTTTATATTTTTAACTTAATAATGCTCTAACTTTTTCAAAAATGAACATATCAATATAATTTTTTTTATATAGATGCTTGATGTCTTTACTTATCATTTGGTATATTTTTTTGTAAATCTGACCCTTTATCTGCCCACACGGAGGGATTTAAAATGAAAACTTTTTCACAAAAAATTATTTTTTTCAACATAACTTTTGAAAATGTTCCGGAAGGTCTGACACTTTTATAAATATCTTAAATTAATGCTAATGTAATATACTTTAATTTAAAAAAAAAAAAAATTGTCCTCTGGACTTGTCTTCACGGCAAAAATGGCTACCGAATGCTATTTTCCTGTGAAAATTCTCGATTTTATTATTTATATTATATTTAACTTTATAATGCTATAACTTTTTGAAAAATGTATGGATCAATACAATTTTTTATGAGAAATAATATTTTTTAATAATCCCATTTTCATTCGACATATTTTATCTTAATCAAGATATTAATAAAGAACCAGCAGATCATGTAGCTTTTGGAATAAAACACCCATTTTTTTTTAAATTAAACACTATCTAAAAATTTGCATTGAAGCGTTTATTTTTGATAGTTATTTTTAATCACTGTCAGATATCATTATACTTGATCCAACTATACCACGGCACCACTGTGCCGCGACCTCCCTGTGCTGGGTTTTTTTTTTTTTTACTTTAGTAAATGATGTGTCATTCATTTATTGTTAAACCAAATCCAACATAATATAATTTGAATACCAATTTAATGAAAATAAAATAAACTCATACTTAGTGTACATACTTGAAAGGTAATCTGGATTTTTGGTTTAATTATAATTATACATAGGGACACGGTATAGAGTTTATCTCAGCCGCATATCAAATTATTAACCTATAAGAGGTGTATCATAATCTGAATTATTAATGCGCTAATAATTTAAAACTTTTAAATTATGAGATGTGTAAAAATAAATGATTTACATTTATTTTAAAAATTCATCTAATCATTGCCATAAATAAAACACAATTTTTGAGAAACTATGGAAAAGCTACGGGGCTAATCTCCAACCAATTTTCGTCTATGTATCTGAAATTATAAAGTGATATAATCGGCGCAGAAAAACGTATCTTCTTTTTCCTTGCCTTTGTCCTAACTACTTGAAATCAACCACCCTTATCTAAATTTCCATTTGATACGATCATCTATGCATACATCAGCCGTCCTCATATTGAATTCAATAACATCCTTCTAACTTTTTTGGTCTTCCTTTAACATTCATTTCCAACAAAGTTGCAGATTCCTTTCTCTTCATAACATGACCAAACCATCTAAGTCTATTTTCTCTTGTTTTATCAATGATTGATGCTACACCTATACTCCTTCTTATATGTTCTTTTCTTATCTTAACCTCTCTAGTCATTCTACTCATCCATCTAAGCATTCTAATATCTGCTACACTCATTCACTGCTCTATTCTCTTGTCAACCGCCCAACACTAAACTATACATCATAGCTGATCTCATTACAGTCTTATAGAACTTACCTTTCAGCCTTATTGAAATTATCTTATCGCATAATACACTAGACACTCCTTTCCACTTCAACCTGCATTTAATCCTGTGTCTTACATATTCTTTAATACCACCGTTTTTTTTTTGCGGAACTGATTCTAAATACTTAACTTTGCTCCTCTCCTATCACATCCTTTCTTATTGTCACTGATCATCTCCTTTTATCTATCTCGTGTACTCTTGTCAAACTCGTACTCTATATACTCTGCCATACTTCTACTTATTCTTAATACCTTTTCTTCAAGAGCTGAATCTCATACCTCTAGGATTTGATTAATTTCTTTCCTATTTTCTCCTATTAATATTATATTGTCAGCGAACCACATGCACCACATTACTTTTTATATTTCTTTAGTAATTTCATCCATCACTATAGAAAATAAGTAAAACCTTAAAGCAGAACATTGTGCACTCCTTCTTTTACCCTAAAATCTCCTGTTACTTTGCTCAAATTTTTATCATGGTTCAAGTACCATCATACATATTCTTTATAATATTAATGTACCTTTTTGGTACTCTTCTTATTAATGACCACTTTAAAACCTTTCTCGGTACTCTATCATATGCCTTCTCCAAATCTATAAATATCTATGAAAGATAAATACTGCTAAATAAAGTCAAAAAAATATTTTTAAGATTATTATTATTTGAAGAAGAAATTATGGTCAATGATAAACCAATCATTCTGAACATATTGTAGCTAGATTGGTTTATAAGTCGCACAAGTGCCGAATAACAATATTTTATTTTAGCGGAAACGGCAACGAGGGAAAGCGTTTATCATCAATGTAAAACCTATAGGCATGTGCACATAATCGATACAAATTTTCTATTTTGTATATGGCTGTTTATTTATTATTTAAAAATCTTAAATTGTGATATTGTGTATTATAAATTATTATATTGTATACTTATGATAGAATAGTCTTTTTAATTCGTTAGTAGACAAAATCACGTGCATTTTAATTTTAATAATAATCATTTAGTTTAAGAAAGTTTGTATTCGTGGAAATTTTGTTTACTGTTCAGTGATTCAAATATTTTATTAAGATTATTGTGTATGTCATGTTGTGAGTATCTATGTCATTGATTTGATCTTATAACTTTCATAGGTTTTAATTTTGTATACACGAAAGCAAAATTATGTATTTTTAAGGAGTAATTTATTTATAAATACTATACATAGATTTTTCTTCTTTTTCCTATACTTTTTAATTAGTTGTCTTACACAAAAAACTAGCTCCATCATCGATTTTCCAGGCAAAAATCTGGTTCTTTGTTATTGATGTTTCTCCTCATATTCTTTTGTCAATTACTTTTTCCCAAATCTTCATACTATGACTCATTAGTTTTATGTCTATAATTTCCACACTCCTGTATATATCCTTTGCCTTTAAATATCAACACCACAATACTATTTTTCCATTTATTTAGCATTTTCCTTTTTAATAGGATTTTATTAAAAAGATCTTTTAATCATCTTATGCCAACACCGCCTTATATTTTTTATACTTGTACTGGCACTTTATCTGGTCCTACTGTTTTATTTTTTTTATTGATGCTACAGCCTTCCATACCTCTTTATCACTAATTAAATCTACCAGTTTCATGTTGCATGAGATATATTCTTTTTACAATACTCCTCATTCAGTAATTTTTCAAAATACTTTTTCCACCTTTTTTCACATCATCATCGTTTGTTAGCACCCCCCTATTATCATCACTTTTTATACATGTTACATTATGATAATCTTTAGACAGTTATTCTCTTACTTTTGCAAGTTCATATACTTCTTTTTCATCTTTATTGCTAGTCTATTTTACAACTCTTCATACTTCTTAAACTTCGCCTTACTTACTACACACTTGGCTTCTTTGCACAAGCGTTTATACTCCATCCAATCTTCTCTCTGTTTTCTTTTCTGCCATACTTTGAACTGCTTTTTCTTATTCTCTATGATCTTTTGAACGTCCTCATTCCACCACCATGTTTCTTTGTTTCCTGGCATTCTACTCCTACTCTCACCAATTATCTCTTCTGTAGTATTCATTACACAACTAGGAAATCTATTCCACATATCATTTATTTCTCTCTCAATATTCCACACCGTCTTTAAATCTCTTTCTTTTCTACATAAAATAATCAATCTGTGATCTATTACTTCCACTTTTATAAGTTATTTAATGTTCTTTCCTCTTTCTAAAATAAGTATTAACCACATCAAGATTGTATAACATTGCGAAATCTAGAATTATTTCTCCAGCCTCATTCTTTTCATGTCCTCTCCTCTCATAACCGACATGTCCATTCATATCTCCATGTATCACTACATCTTCATTACCAAGTATTTCTTGCATCACAAATGATAAATTTTTCTCTAAAACACTTCCTTATCTAATTCATTACATCCTATTGTGGTGTATAGGCACTTACTACATTCAACATTTTTTTCTTGAAAATTAATTTTAGAACTATAATTNTTTTTTTCTTGAAAATTAATTTTAGAACTATAATTCTGTCACTTTTCCTAACTACTACTACTTTACTTTACATCTCCTCATCCAATATTATCTCTACACCATTTTTTGTATTGGTTTTACCTGAGTATATAACACTTAGGTGGGTAAACCGAATTAAGACAATTCGGTATGAGGTACGCACAATGGACCAACAGGTCTGAGTGCATGGGCATTATGTCCACCTCGATAATAACTAAAACTAAAAAAAAAAAAAA